TATTAAACATGACTTACGATAATTCCAAGGATTATGACATGCCCGAAACTCTTTTTACCTCGCTGAAAGACATGTTCGAAGCCATTGTTACGGCTCAGTACAGGACCGGAGTTGTGAGTGGATGGAGGTTGCTCGAAGTGCTTCGACAAGAGAACGAGATGTTCAGGTCCGCAATGCATCAGGATGCCCATGAATTCCTCAATCTCCTCCTCAACACGGTTTTGGAAAATCTGGAGGCTCACGACCGAAAATTGATCGCCCAGAAAAAGGCGGAGGAGCCCCCTCCGAAGAAAGAGGACCCAACCGACATGGTCAGGTCAGAATCAGCAACCGTCCAATTCCCTTCGATATTGCCGGTCCCGACGGCAAGTTCTCCCACAAGATGGCTGCACCAGCTCTTCGAAGGCACCCTGACCTCTGAAACTCGGTGTTTGACGTGCGAAAACGTGTCGCAACGTGACGAACCTTTTCTGGACTTATCGGTCGACTTGGAGCAGCACTCCTCTGTCACAGCATGTCTACGAAGATTCTCCGAGGAGGAAATGCTGTGTGAGCGAAATAAGTTCCATTGCGACAACTGCGGCGGTCTTCAAGAAGCCGAAAAACGCATGAAGATTAAGAGGCTCCCCCGGATCCTGGCTCTTCACCTGAAACGATTCAAGTATACCGAGGATTTTGGACGGCTGCAGAAGCTGTTTCACAAGGTCGTGTACCCATACCATTTGAGGTTGTTCAACACTACGGATGACGCCGAAGATCCTGATCGACTCTACGAGTTGTACGCAGTGGTTGTGCACATCGGAGGTGGTCCTTACCACGGTCATTATGTCTCCATCATCAAGACGCAGGATCGGGGCTGGCTCCTTTTTGACGACGAAATGGTCGAACCCGTGGACAAGAATTTTGTTCGCAACTTCTTCGGAGACAAAGCAGGGCTCGCCACGGCATATGTCTTGTTTTACCAGGAGACCACGCTAGAAGAAGTCCACAAGGAGCAAAGGACAGAAGGCAAGAGACGGGCTTCTCAGGATCTCACTGCTGGGATCGGTGTCGACGCTAAACGTTCAGCGGAACTCCACCGTGTCGAGACAGTCAGCCCGCTAAGCTCTCCAAATCCGTCCGCAGAAGCTGCGCAATATGCTGCACTCGATCATGCAATGACAGCACCACCGGACTTCAAGGCCAACGGCCATGTTGCACCTCCCAGATCACCCACTATTGCCGCCGCCCGACCCGCCAGCCCGGTGGTACAAAGTAAGAAGGAGAAAGCCAAAGAAGAGAAGGCGCGAAAAGCGGCAGAAAAGCAGGCCGAGAAGGACAGACAAGAAGCTGAACGGCTACGTCGGAAAGACCTGGCCAACAAAATCACTGAGGCTCACAAAAAGCAAGAAGCAGATCTCAAGGCAGCTTTGGAAGCAAGCAAGCAGACAAAGGCAGAAGAAGATCAACGAAACGCGCTTGAGCGAGCACATACTTATCAATCGAACGGCGGCGGGTCTTCAGGCTTTGAGAAATTCAAGCGATCGAAAAGTCTGCGGTTCGGCTCCTTGACCAAGAAAGACAAGCCTCCGTCTAATCCGTCGGAAGAGAACATTGTGCCCCCAATGCCAGCAGGCGGCGGTGACACGCCAGAGAAGGACTTGCCCAAGGAGAAGAAGAATCGGTTCAGCATCCGGAAGAAATCCTTCGGCATGCTTTCGTGAATGGTGAGAATTGATGCGTTCGCGAAAATGGAGGGATCGGTTTTACTTCGACATCTAGCCCAAGGCCGTCTTCGCGGAGCGATTGGAAGAACATGCAGCCTTATGCTCACCACTTTTGGGACAGATGCGGCCTTGACGATATGCACAATAGCCCGGCCTTCGGCAACCTCACACGGCTCTGGACGAATTACGACTTTTAGAACTCTTGTGGTAAATTGCTGTTGGACGCGTACTTTCGAGTCTCGGCACCGCCGAACTCATCTCTATCCTATCTTCCCTGGTCGGCGGCCTTGTGGAACACCGGGACTCACGCAGCTAGCAGAGTGGGTTTGTGAGCATGAGGCCCCGAAAGGTGATATGAGGCAGGATCAAACTTTCGATCACTGTGCCTGGAGCCTCCTCGGTTGCGGTCATATTCCTGAACTGCCTTGATGGAACACACGCAATCATACGAGCATGTCGCTTCGAGCAGCCAAAATATGTGAACGGCGGACAATGAAGATGGATTTACTGGAGTACATAAGCGAAATCATGGAGATTATAAGGTGGTGGGACTTGGGCAGGGCTTCAGCTCTGTGTCTCCATTCCATCCGCGGACCTGGAATCTTTGTGATGCATTTAGGTTGGCCATACGAAAAAGAAGGGTTCTCTGGGAGGAGAAGTAATTTGTCTGGCTGGACGTGAACACCCAGCGGGATGCGGCTGAGGCCTCCAAGAGCCAAACTAAAGCAGCCATATTAAGAACTAGGAGGCATAGGTCCGGAAGAGCAATGAAAGAAGGCAATTCTGACCGAATAGTACGGGTGCCGTTCGACACAAGCTCACACACCTGCCACTGACCTCGACTTTGAGGATCAGACACCCCGTTTGATTTCCCGAGGTTGAGCACCCATCAAAGTGAGACCAGCGTGTTGAAAGGGAGTCAAGGACAGCGTAGGATTTTTCGAGGACCATTCAAGCTCAAACATGATGGCCGACCGACTCTTCGTATGGTGTCGGGCTCCACACCGGGGCCACAGTGGCTCTTGTCTTGTCCCTCCTGCCTTGTGGCTCTTCGTTCCTCGCTTCGCAATGACACATTCATTCCCGGGCTCGTCAGGATCGGCCGTGCTACTGTAGCCGCAAAGCCACAACCCCATAAACTGCCAGCAACTCTCGTATGATGCGTAGTGGTATAGCCAAAAAACACCCCGCTGCCCTTGTCTCTCGACTGCCTTGGACATTTTTCATTCTCGTGAGCCTTGGCTTCCAAGTGTGAAGGCTGGTATTTTCTGTCTATGTTGGAATATGGTCAGATGCGATGTCGGATCGTTGATGCGCGCTTGTTCTGGACTCTTGAGGATTGAATCAGATAATGCTGGATAATGCTGGCTTGAGCTTAGCTAGGGTTGGGAATGAAGCTGAAACTGAGCAGCGCTTGACTGGTGCTGAAGGACTGTGCTGCCTCCTGTGGTGTGCTCGTTCGTGTCGTGGAGAATGGGTATTCCCAAGCTTATGCTCACGCTGAGAAGCCGGGGGGTTTTGTTGGCACAGGATTGAGCCCGGGTTGGGCAAATTCGCGACTGCACACCATCGCTTGGTGCGGGTGGCGAGGGGACGGGGGTTTCCAGCCGTCGCGAGCGGCTGAGCAGGGCTGTTGTCTCTCTGGTGTGAAGACCGAAGAACTAAGCACTTCTCTGGTGGTCTGCTACGTGGCTTTCATCATGGCCGACAGGCGGTCACCCGAGCATAAGCTCATAGATTATGAGGAATGTATTCACGAGGATCAGAGGGACTAGGTATCGTTTCCGGTCAGTATGGCCGTACACCAGAAAATAGACCACGCTCATTTTCCAGGCAGGGATGCGTGGTGTTCTTCTCGTCCACAGGGGGTGTCCCAATCCACCGGGAAAAGGTGTGTGTGGGTGTGAGTGTGCACTAACCTCGACATAGCGTCCTCACACTGGATATCAGGTTGATTCCCCGGCTGCGGAAGCTCTCAGGGTCCTGGCCGGGGGTACCAAAACCGGCGCTGTTTTGTTCGTTCAAGGAGGTTTTGCCCCAGCCGACTGTGTGTAGAGCATGTGTCAACAAGTGTCTTGAAAAGTTCTGCGCTGTCCTGGGCTGTCCTGGGCGCGAACGGGGTATCTTCCTATCTCAGGGCAATCTGGGATTACGTACTTCGTGCGAGGAAGCGGTCTTCTGAGAGGACGGCAATGGCATTGAGGAGGAGGCAACCTGCTGTGATCGTGCAAGAGGCGTTAGTGTGCTGGTGAACGTAATGGTAGGCAGCGGTAGGCATCAGACGGCATGCGCTGGACAGTTGTTCTCACCGTAGAGAAATGGGCCGAAACCGAACAGATTGAGCATTCTGGCCGGTGGTTTGAATCCCTCTATGGGCAGTTCAGATTAGAGCGGGAGGCGGTGACTTTGAGGCCGAAGACGAATTACAGTAGAAGTTGTACGCAGTCGCATTCAAAGTCCAACTCAGGCAAAGGCATGTATGTGCCACGGTATTTCGAACAATTGGGCATGTTGAAGTTGAAGCCAGCACGGCATCGAGCGTCTCGGCACGGAGAAACATGTTGCCGAGAATGTTCCCGGTCACGTGCCTGTGGGCCATCTCTTGCCTTTTCAGACCGGCCCTATTAAGGCCAGCCGTACAGCTGGACTGTGTAACATGATCTTCCTGAAGATACTGCAACGTGTGTGCTTATCTGCATCTAGCTGAACACTATCTGACTGCCCACAATGTGAGAGTGATCTGGCGAGACCGCCCCACTGAACCCAGTCGATGCCTTATTTGCTCATCGACGCCCTGCTGCAATGACATGAACCAGCCTATTCTCCGTATCAGCCACTCGCCCCAATTGGTGGGAAAGCCTCTTTGGGATACCTATTTCCGATACTGTAGCATGTACATTCCTGATTGTCTCAGGCTCGGCACCCGGACTGCCACAAATCCACGACGGTACTCCTCCTCCAGTGGACATTAACAAACTCCTGGCACCCTAATGCTGTATCTTTGTTAGAGACCCGTAGCATTGGGTACCTGCGATGTCTCTTTCTAGAAAACAGACCTCTTCGCACTGCCTGAACCATCGCGTATCGGCCGAACTCTCCAAAATCAGAGATCAAGAGTCAGTCCGTCGTCATCGGCGTGACTCGGGCCACAGCGCCACGATACTGACTGAGCGGTCTATAAAAGATATGGGTTCCGCGCCTCTGGCGCGTCTCCCACTATCTAGGACGGTGCCTTGCACAAAAGACGGTTAAGTACACCTGCCAGCCCCATATCTTTCGCCGGATCAATACAGAATGTCCGGAACAGTCGAGTCTGTCACCACCCTGCCGGCCGTCAAGCGTTACATAGCAACACATGATGCTCACGGCAAGAGCGTGTATTTCGATTCACCTCCACAGCAATATTACCCCGTCCCGGGTGCTGGTGGACTCGCCCGCTCTTACTCGGTGGCCACTGTCCCATCAAAGTTGGAGAACGACGAGGATCTCAAAGCGTACCTAGGGAAGGAAGGTCCTGCCAGCTGGACGTCACCGAACATTGTCACTCCAGGAGGTGCCAACCTGCTCATCGTGGATCTGTCCCCGGGAGGAAAGAGTTTCATGCACCAAACTGTTTCGATTGACTTCTCGGTCTGTGTTGTTGGAGAGATCGACCGTAAGTTGCTCGATCTTCTTGTCTAGGGTCTCATCTCCAATTCGAAGCGATGCTGACTTTACCGGCACATGCAGACGAGTTGGATAACGGCGAGAAGGTTCGACTGCGCCCAGGAGACCACATTGTCCAGCGGGGCACAATGCACCGATGGCACAATGCGTCAAGTACTGCACCGGCGCGGCTTGTGGTCACAACTCTCTCTTGCCTGCCATTTGACATTGCCGGCAAACAGCTGGAGGAGATTCATCTTCCGAACGAGCAATAGGAGATGCTGTGAGGATCTTGACCGATAGACCCAATGAGCAACTCAATCATGTACTTCATGCCGAGTTCCTTGCTCGTCTTTTGCCAACTGACCGCTCCCCGTTGCCGCCTCGCCTGTCCGTTGTTCGTAGTTTACCGATGATTTTTGTGGACGACCATGCTCCTCCAGAGCAAACACCGTCTAGCAGCTGTTTGGGTTGATCCCACGGCCACCAGTAGTAAGAGGCCAATCTGTCTGGAACTTCAAACCGTCTAACGCGTCATGGCTTCTGAAGTTGCCTCATGTGAAGTCCTGCCAATATATCGACTTTGACTTGATACGTGATGCTGCTTCGATAAGTTACGCCTCTGTAGATGTCGCAAGGCTACGCCTCAGCCTTGCCATACTGCGTGGTGGGGAGACGGGAGCCCCTGTCGAGACCACCACCACCGATCGCCATCTTACTCTCCTCAATCTTCTTATCCGCTCTACACACCAAGATGGCTCGCTGGCGAGCATCGTCTCTCGCAGTTGTTCTGTTCCCCTTTCTCGTCGCCATACATTTATATATCGCGCCGTACACCAAAGTCGAAGAGTCGTTCAACATCCAAGCGGCCCACGACATCCTACACTATGGCGTACCTCTGGGCCACAACGCCCATCTCAGGTTCAAGGCACTGTATGACCACATGACATTTCCCGGCGCGGTGCCGAGGACGTTCATCGGCGCGATGACATTGGCGGCCATTGCGAAGCCGGTCGTGTGGTTCCGCAGTACCGTCGACGGCATGTCTCAACAGATGCTAGGTAAGCAGTCCCCCGGGGAATTCGGGGAAGTCCCTTTTTCCAAAAGCTAACGACGAGATCACTGCCAGTGCGCGGTATCCTGGGCCTCTTCAACGCCGTCGCGCTGATCACCTACGCGTCCGGGGTGCGTCGAGCGTACGGCGATTCCGCAGCAGCATGGTACGCTGTGCTCCAGGCCAGTCAATTTCATGTGTGGTATTACGCGTCGCGGACGCTGCCCAACATGTTCGCCTTTGGCATCAGCACCTTGGCCCTCTCGCTGCTCCTGCCCGTCACGCCTTCGTCGAGTAGTACAGAGTCCCGGATCCGACGGACGAGGCTGGCACTCTACCTGCTCACGCTGGCGGGGATCATTTTCCGCGCCGAGCTCGCCCTCCTCGTGGCATCGCAGTGCGCGTACATGCTCGCCCGCACCGGTGGGGATGTCGGTTCCGCCATCTCTCTCCTGCGCAGGGTCATGGTCCCGGCAATCCTCACGGCCACGGTGGCGGGTCTGGTGCTGACGGTCTCGATCGACACCTATTTCTGGCAATCGCGCAGACTGCTGTGGCCCGAACTGGCGGCCTTCCTGGCGAATGTCTTCCCCAAGGACAATGGCCTGGGCGCCTCAGCCTGGGGGACCAGCCCCTGGCACTGGTACTTCACGTCGGCACTGCCGCGGCTCGTCATGAACCCGGTCCTCCTGGCGCTTGGTGTGCCATGGAGTTTCACACGGCCGGCGCTAGCAATGTCGAACTTGGACCTCGTGGCCCCCTCGGTGGGCTATATCGTCGCGTACTCTGCACTCGCGCACAAGGAGACGCGCTTCCTGTTCCCCGTGCTTCCGCCCCTGACGGCCGCGATGGCCCGCACGGCAGATTACATCTACAAGCGCGGCGGCGACCGCGACCGGGACGGTCAGCGACATCTGCTTCTTCCTCCGCGCGTGCTGGGCATCCTGCTCGTCCTCGGCACCGCGCTCACGACGCTCCTCTCCCACGCCGTGTTTCTGCCGCTGTCCGCGCACACGTATCCCGGCGCGCAGGCCCTCTCGGCGCTGCACGCCCTGTCGCTGGCCTATCCGCCGCAGCCGACCGTGCGCGTGCATCTGACCAACCTGGCGCTTCAGACGGGCGTGACGCGGTTCCTGTCGACGCCTTCGTTCGTTACTACCACTGCTGCTGCCACCTCCGCACAAGCAGGCCATGACAGACCGGTGCTCTATCTCCCCGGCTCGGCCGACGGGACGATCCCCGCGCTCTCGTCCAAGCGGCGTACGCAGTGGCGGTACGACAAGTCGGACAATCAGACCGAGTTTCTCACCCCGACCTTCTGGGCGCAGTTCGACTACGTCGTGGTGGAAGACCCAGGCCGGGTGATCGGCCGGTGGGATGTCGTGGATAAAGTCCCGAGCCTGGGTCAGCCGAGCGTGCTGAGACCGGACGTGGGGAGGGGGTTGTTGGTGCTGGGTGCGAAAGAGGAGAGGCGCGAGGATGATGGCCTGGCCAGACTGGTCGCGGCCATGTATGGTGCATGGGCGAAGCGGGCGTACGGTGTCGTGCACGACATTCTCAGGGAGGGGTACGGGCTTGATAGGATACTGGGACGGAGGATCAGTCTGACGATGGGATGGTGGGTGCATTGGGGCTTGGAGACGAAGCTGTACATCTTGAAGAGAGCGGACGGGGGGGTAGTGCCGTAGAGCCAGCGAGAGGAAAGGCGACAGTCAAGGAGGACATCCGTTTGGTTCTGGCTTTAGTCCTTTATGCACGGATACCGCCTCTCTCGCTCAATAGACGGGAAGAGATAAACTAGCTGACTAGCTAGCTACCCATCTACCTGGCCTGTCCTAGCCGTCCAACCCTCTCCTCCACATCCCTTACCCGCCCGCCGAGCACATCGACGTTGCTCTTCATGACGTCCTCGGCCTCCTGGATCCCTTTCTCGACATGCTCGACCGCCTCTCTCCACTTGGCCACCTCGTCCTTCATCTCCCTCTGCCGACTCTCCAGGTCATCAATCAACCCCTTCGCCTGCGCCGCTCCGTTGTGCAGCACGTTCAACGTCCTCAACCGCTCCAGCACGACCGGCAACAGCGGCTGGAGTTCCTGAATGCTCGGCAGTAAATGATACAAGGCCGTAATCTTGCTGGCTTGCTCGTCCAGAAACAACTGCGATTGAATCTGAAGCGATTCCCCACCCGGGCCGCCGCCGGTCGTGCCGTCGAGCTTGGCCTCATTGTTGCCCTGAGTATGGCCGGTGCTGCTCGCGGTGGATAAACCTCGCATGCGCGCCGAACGGGAGTTGCCATGCACGCTCGCGCCAGAGACGAGTTGTTGCATGCGCTTCTCATGCAGATCGGCGAGGGAGGCCAGAGCGGCTTTGCGGGACTGCGAGAGGCGGTCGGATTCTGCGATCAGGGTCTTCAGTTTGCTGGAGATTGTGTCGAGGTAGGCCACGTTGGGCCGGGATTGGGACTCTGGGGCAGCTGAAGTGGTGGATGGGGGTGCAAGCGTTGCAGACAGGGCGGTGATTTGTGCGGCAAGGCTTGTCAGGGTTGGTAGAATGGCAGAGGTCTGGGAGTCTGAGCTCATAGAGGAGATCCCTAGGGCGGACTCGAGGCCAGTGAGGCGGTCTGAGAAGTCGGCCACGGCGGCGAGGGTCGCCGGAGCTGATTGTGGCGCTGCTGTAGCCGGGTCGGAGTGCGAGGCTTGAGTCTGGTGGTGGTGGCGGTGGTGCTGGCGTTGTCGTGCTGTCGAGGCCATCGTGGACAGGAACTGGTCCTCGACCGTGTCGGCCGTCTTCAGCCTCGCTTTCGTGCTCAACCCATCGAGGACGCGGCTGAGTTCGTGTACGCCGTCGATGTCCACATCTTCCTCGCCCTGCTTCCGTGACCCCTGCTGCTCGACACTGTCCTGGAATTCCGCGTCCTCGTCCTTCTCCATCTCCCTGCTCTCCAACTCCAGCCTCACTTCCTCGGCCTCCCTCTTCAGCCTGGCCAACTTGACGGGAAGCGTCTCCTCTTCACTGTCACTCAGGTCCCCGACCTCTTCTCCTCCGTTTTCCAGGCCCCTCCTCCTCCTCCGTCGCCTCGAACTCCGCGTCCGATACGCGCGTCTTGTCCCAGCAATGGAATCTGAGAAGTCCACGTCTTTGGCATCGACGAGAGATGGTTCGAAGCGTCGTCGTGCGCCATCGCGGTCTAGTGGTTGGCGGTCCAAGCCGGGGCGGACTTCATCGCCAGATGATGGAGAGGGGGAGCCGGTCCGGACTGTGCCCGTAGGTACTGTCGAGACGTCGTCTGCAAGGTCGGGGGTTTCGTAGACTTCGGGGGCAGCGTCCTGCAAAGGGTACGCATGATTAGGGCGGTACTTCAGCAGCAGGCTTGCAATCTGGAGAGAAGCATACCAAGTCGGGCAGGCCAGCGTATTTCTTGCTCACGGCCATTGTCTTGTGCTCTTCACGCAAGCAGTGTTCGGAATCAATCTCGAGTCTTTTGCTGTTCGAAATACTGCGAGACTGCAAAGACATAAGAGCCGCACGCGACAAACCCCGAAGTTCTGCCACAGCAACGGAGCGAGTTTCACAAGCTGCTGGCCTCGGGAGTTAGTGGGGGAGCATACGAGGTACAGCTCTACTACGCAATTGATAGGGAGACGTTTGGTGATATCGAAGTTTGCATGATGGTGACTAGATACCGCGGTCTCATCAAGCATCATGCCGCGAGGGGCGGCAGACGGTTGCGCGCCCGCCGGAGCGGTCTGGCGGTATGGCCCAGCCCTTGAAGAATCAATCGCTCCCAGAATTCCAAACATCATGCCGCAGCCCTCCCCTTGTCCTTGTGGAGGTGCTTGTCCGCGTCCATGTCGACCAAGAACCTCTCCCACGTCGAGATCACACTCTGGTAAAACTCAATGTGCTGGCTGGCAAGCGCACCTAGGCTGTCTCGGAATTCCAGTCCTTTGATCCGCTCAAAGTCGGCCACTTCCCGTACGACCTGCTCGTCGAACATTTCACTGGTGCCTTTGGCGCTATCGACTTCCCGGTTCAGTTCCGCAATCTTGAGTTCTAGTTTTCGAGCTCGTTCTCGGCGAGCGGATTCATGATCGACACCGCGGATATCTTCCACCTTGTTGCGGATGAAAGTTGCAGGGTTGAGATTGCTGCCGTGTGAGTACGGATTGTTCGAAGCCAGCATGTCTCGCTCCGAAGTGGCCTTTTGCAGATAGTCGGTCAGCCCTTCAAAGTCGAGCTGCTTCTGCTCTCGAGTTTTTAGCAGGGATTTGACCGAGTTGATATACGCTTCCATATCCTTCAGTGAGCCGAGGTAGTTCTGATCTGTATGGTCTTTGAGTTGTTTCCAGCCTCGCGAGGACTCTTCCACACAGCCGGCAAATGTCTGTAGCGGGGCCTCGATTGCTGGCTCCAGTGGGGTCAGTTTGCGCATGTTGTTGGCGAGTTCGGCGTAGTCTGTCTCCAGGTCTCCTTCTCGGCGAGCTACCCGAGCGATGATCTTTTCGACATGAGAGAGATCCTCGTCTAGCTTGTTGGCTCGCTCTGTTACTTCAATGAAGCGCTTATCAGGCTTGTGGACCTTGGAAAAGGCGTTCAGCATGGTGTCTGCGACATTATCGAAGAAGCCGGTGGGCGCGGTTGTGTTAGGCGCACCACTTTCACCGAGAGTACTGCTTCTTGTAGGCCTCAAGCGCATTTGGGCGTTCCAGTCGGTAGTCTCCAGAAAGAGGATCAGTATGGGTGCCCTCCTCAGAACTGGGTGGAGGGTGCACCGTTTCAGGAAGCGATGTAGTGACCATGCTCGCCGTTGGGTAAACTCTGAACTGAAGCGGTCCCCTCTTACGTAGGCCATGTTGTTCTTCTCGGGCAGGGGAGGGATGGCGCATGCCTGGTAGTCTCGGTGCAACGACTGGCGCAGGAACACAAAGTCTGTGAAGCGTCGGCGGACACTGAAGTCGGTTTTCTGAAAGGACTTGAAGTCTGTCTGCGCAGTTCCGTTAGCTGAGAGCGCACTTTTGGTGATCGGGACGTCTTACATGAGTCGTGACGAGGTAGGAGACATATGCGTCCTTTGTCCCGTCATTCTCTTTTAGAGGTGTATCGACCGTGACTTCCAGAATCCCGTCGCGGCCAATGCCGGCTAGGTCAACCTGGTCTGCCTGGTCCCCGGCTTGCGGTTCGCTGGACAAGCTATCACTTCGGCGTCCGCCGGCGGGTCGCTCTGGCAGAGTGGAATGGAAGGGAGCTGACGACTCCGCCTGCGGTGCATCCTCGCGCTGCCATGAGACGCTGTCGAACTCGCCATGGTCGTCCATGGTCTCGCGGTGGTCAATGCCGGTGTCAGCCCTGGAGACCGTGACGAGTGGCCGCACTAGTCCATACGATCAGAAGCACAGGGTCCTAGGCAATAGAAGGCGATTTCGGGGTGACTATTGGAGCTTGGTCGCAGCTGTCTGTCCCTCGACCTTCAGTCTCCAGGCGGCGTCAATCAACCGGAGCGAGCATGACGCGGGCTTGGCGCAAGGCTGGCCAATCAGAACAGTCTAAAGCACACGAGGCTGTCGTGAAGAGCAGGGCTTGGAGATATTAGAATAATCGTTGTCGGGATATCCTCATGGCTCATCTATCACTTTTGGGACCTTCAACTCCTCAGAAGTCGAATTCGGCTCTGAACTGATCCAAGTTCATGCCCGTCCCAACCTTTTCGGTTAGGTCCCTCCGTCCCATGCCAGTGAATGCCCTTCGTAATGTGTCGTACAGATTCGAGCTCTCATTCTGCTGTATCATCCGCTCCAGTTCAGCATCTCCGATCCCTCCACTGCCATCTCCCACAATCTCTCGTGCCTTGTCCATTCCCTGTTCGCTAACGATACGGTGTAGATTCAGCGCGCCCAGTAGATGCCCAGCTGCCTCCGGGTAGCAGCCGATGTTGATACAGGAAACACCCAGATTATATCGAGCTCGAACAAAGTTGGGATTCACATCCAACGCCTTGCAATATGCCGTGATGGCGTCTTCTGACCGACCAGAATTCGCCAGTGTTGCGCCTAACCGGTTCCATAGCAGGTGCAGCTGACTCTCGCGATTGACGATCCCACTTTCCGTGGACGCAAGAGCCGCCTTGAAGCAGTCGACGGCTTTCTCGAAGTCCTCGTTCCCATAAAAGAGAACCCCGAGGCCTACTTGCACGTCCGGATCCATGTGTTCGCCTGAGGGTGACAATTGGGCCGCCCGGATAAACAGCTCCACCACCCTTTCATGCAGGACCTGCCGGTCCGTAAAGCCGACTTCTGCGGGATCCGACAGATTCTGGGGAGGATGGATCTGGGGGTATTTGACGCTTAACCACCGTTCTAGTGTTCTGTAGGCTGTGCTGTCATATCCTTCATTGGTGTAAGATACGGCCAGGCCCATGAGTGCGTCAAGATTGTTAGGATCAAGTTGAAGAGCCTTTTCCAGTGCGCGAATCGCGGGTGATTCTTTTTCGTTCTGGGCCTGGGCTGCTCCTAGTAAAACCCATGCTTCGACGTGGTTAGGATCTTGTTGGACTGCTGCTTCAAATGCCAACGCCGCCAGCGACAAATTGCCGTGTGATTCGAGTATTTGCTTGCCCTCTTCGAATGCGGATCTCGACGCCTGTTTCTCTTGATAGGGGTTCTGTTCTTCGAACATGTAATCGCCTAGCATTGGTTCTCGTTCGTACGGATGATGAGTGTTGAGTCCCATGTTGGAGTCAAAATTCTCCCAGGCGGCGAAATCTTCGGAAGAGAAGGCATTGTCGAATTCGGCGGCGTCTTCAACCATTTGCCTGGATGCAAATTCAGCATTGGTTCCCCTCGCAGACAATTTCGATTTCTTCACAATACTAACCTGTCCATTTCCTCGAGTTCCTTCTCCATGGCCTGGTTGGCCTGCTCTGATATATTGTCTTGTTGTGACTCCAGCTCCTTAAAGTGAGCCTCCCAATTGGCATCGTCGAGTTCAACCATTCGACCCTTTCCCTTGTCCATACTCTGCTCTGGCTGCTGCATGTGCTGAAATGAGCCAATGTTCATGCCCATATTCATCCCGCCCATGAATCCCATACCCATCGGTCTCTGGTAGCTGTTCATCATAGATGGTGCTTGGGTGATTGGGCTTGAGGTCCGTGGAGCGCCAGGTTGTTGGAAGTGTGCAAAGTCTTGGGGTGAGAAGCCGTTGGGTCTCTGTGCTGCCATCTTTGAGGATGCAAAGGCCGCTTCCATTCTTGCCTGTTCGCCAGGATCGAACTCTGCTGCCCAACCGGGCGAAGGTGACCGCCTCGATATGCCTTGGAGGCTAGGAAGGTCTTGTCGCAGGTGCTCCATGGCAAAGGGCTGGGGCATTGGGTTGGACTGTTGCATAAAGTCGTTCATCATCTATACTTGCGTCAGCAACTTTTGCATTCATCGACCGAAGAGCCCATACCTGATCAGAGCCATTGGGGGCCATCCGAGAGCGCATGCTCTCTTCAAGCCCACCAGGACCCCGCCCAACGAGGCGATCCCGTTGCAGGGTATTGTCGCTCTGTACATGATTTTTGAATTGAGTCAGAGGATTGCCTGCTGTCGAGCACTCGGCACCTCCCAGGAACGACATTTTCGGTGGCGGTACGGTGACACAATGATGGAGAATAAATGGATGAGAGAACGTCTGGTAACACGGCAGTCACGTTGTTTTGGAGAGGCGAGTTTAATCAGTCAGCAACTGCTCTTATCACCATTGTGGCGGGCGGCAGCCGAGGCAAAGGTGAGGAGCGGGGACCCCATCTCTACCCAGTCGAGCCAGTACTCGTAGAATTAACGGCTTATTTCGGGAGCAACCATGCCCCCGGAAGACGCACCTAAGCACCTTTGCTCGGCCGTACGTTCTCGACCTGTACATGCTGCAAGCCAGACGACAAGAACAGTGGCACTCCTAACTATTGACAAGTAGTCTTCGACCGTGGACATCGGCTCTTTACTGATGGGGAAGAATTGACAAGAGGAGAACGACAGCAGAATGCTGGGGGTTTCTCCTAGAGGTGAGTGGATAGCTACAACCTCTAACGGCTTGATGCAGCTCAGCAACAGCATGTCCACGGAGGCATCGAGGAATATTCATGAGAAGCTCGTGCTCTGACTCAAGCTCCTATTCAACATCTATGTTGCAATGCGAAGATGACGCGACCACTGGTACAGTCTCGGGCACAAATTTGAAGCGAACCCCAGCTGCCATACTGGAGACCTATACTCCGTATGCCCGTACTGCCATTAGCCCAAGAAACGCGCCACCGTGCCCTTTTTGGGTCGACACGTGGCCGTGTCAATCGACCTCCCAGAACTTTTACCTGTCCGCGTCGACCAGGGCTTCATGGTACACATTGGTCAAGAGCTGAGTTTCCAAGGTCTTGCATGACTCTAGGCTGCCTGCCTCTCTGACCTTCTACACAGTGCTCATAGTCGAGAAGTCGGCAAGAGCGTGGTCGACATGAGGATAGCAGAAGCGATGGAGGCAATAAGTAGATCCACAGGGTATCTTGCAGTCATGACTGAAAGGTCGATTGGGAAACCAGGTACGGGAGAGCAAGTCAAAAAAGGACCTGCACAGCAGTGAGAAAGAAGGGGGATCAATATGGCTACCATCCGACGCGTGGCATCGTCGACATCCGCACGAGATCATGGAGGTCACGCGAATCTGGTGACTTAAAGCAGAGGCTCCGGGGTAGAGCAATCGGTAGATAACCAAAGCCAGAGTGAGAGACAGGAAGGAGAGTGGACGGGACCTCTCGTCAAGAAGGGAGATTATGCTCTTTTATACAGTGGCCACCAGACGTGCCATCCCGTCTTTGATCTATTCCACGCACTTAGTCTCGATCTCTTCCTCGCTCCATGGAATTTCCCGCTCTCCTTGTGATGATGAAAGCGCATTCTTCCTCGGATGATGTCCGGCGCCAACCTACCCCGTCGGTTCAAAGGTAGAATTATACAACAAGTCTTAGTAAAACATGTACAACTCAAACCCAGCGCTGCTCTCGCGAATCCATGCCAGCCTTGTTACAGGATGGTGGGAAGCCGCCATCTAAAGCGTCAGGTGCACTCCATCTCGTATTCGATCATCCACTGAAAGTGCGGACCTGATTCAACAGGGCAGAAAGACAGTGAGGCGAACAGTGCCGGTGTCGGACGAATCAGCCTCCCTACGCTTGCGCCGGTCCGGTCGACAGTCGCTCCACCTCGTCGTCGCTCATGTCGCAAATATCGCGAACACATGTCCGTCACGGATGCTTCCACGGCTGCGGTCCAGCTCCTCGCGTCAACTGCCGATTTGATAGCGCCAGCCGCATTGGTGGGCCATGGTCATGCCAGACCTAGTTTTCAACAGGAGGATCGTTCTTGGGTGCTCTGCTCGCAGAGGAGTATGAGAAGTCTACCCTCAATCTCCGGCCATAGATCTCTTTCTCCTTCAACAGCTTCATAGCTTCCATGGCACTCTTGATGTCAATGAAATCTGCGTGGGCGAACCCTCTTGGCTGGCCAGTTCGGCGGTCAATGGCGACTCGGACGTCAATAACATTTCTGACACCGCGGAAGAGATTCGTGAGATCACGATCCGTCATCTCAAAGGACATGTTGCCAATGAAGAGGGTTTTGGAAGGAGGGTTCAGAGGCTTGTGCTCCGTATTCGGGGTGTCAAGGGTACTGGAGGTGCGCGCGGCGTATTGGACTGTGATACGACGGCCCTCAAAGAGGGACATGTTTAGTCGTTCCATGGCTGCGTCGGCAGCTTCTTGCGTCGAAAAGTCGACGTATCCGAAACTGGAATCATGATCAGCTGAGATCCCTGCGAGCAGGTCGATTGGTCGACATACCCCTTACTCAGCCCGCGGCTGTCTCGCACAATCCTACACCGAGAGACCGTTCCGAATCGTGCAAACTCCTTGACCAGGTCCGTTTCAGTCACGTCGAAGAACAAATTGCCAATATAGAGTGTTGGTTTTCTATCGAATAGGCCGGGGTGGGATGCATCTCGTTGTGCTGGTGCTGACCCTGCAGATGCCGCCAGCCTCTCGCCAGTTTCAGCGGCTGGGAGAGCCTCCTCGGTTGCTTCGGTTGCATTTGCAGTCTCTGCGACCGCGGGCGCAGCATCCCTAGCCACAGATTTTCCCTTGGCTGTGAGTGTCTCTTGGGTCTCGGCAGCGGGTAGGGTCTCCTCTGTTGCTTCCGTGGCATTGGCAGGTTCTGCAGCTTGGAGGGGCTCGGTGGAAGCGTCGGCTTGGGCAGTATTCTCCCGTTCCTCCGCTTCTGTGGGCTCAACAGCAGATACCGGGGGCTTATCCCCTGCTCCGGTTGTTGCCCATCTCCGTTGAAGCTGGAACGCTGCAGTTTTTGGTGCTATTCGCGAACTGGGAGCGCTGATTGAGGTATATGTGCGGGATGGAGCGATGAGAAAGGTAGCTCGTGAATTGAGAAGCCGCGATGCGCTGCGGCGTAGGGCATACCTGCATATTCATCAGCACCAGTGAGATCTAACAACCTTGTCCGGTGTACTAACATATTAACGCAGTCGGCACGAAGAGGAGGATGAGCACAACTCTAAAAGAAGAAATCTGTGGGAATTGTCAAGGACGATGGCAAAGATAGATATTGAGCTGCGAGATCTCGAGACCGAGCATTGGAAAAAGTCTCCCGACACTCAACCAGCAGACGCTAACCTGGAATGGCAGCCCCACTTTGTCTTGGCTCGGATCCCGTGACCAGCCCAGCTATTGTGAGTTCTACTTCATACGCGTCCTAGTACACGTATCTGAAGTACAAATTCTCCTTGTCCGTCAAGTCATCAAAGGCAACACGCTCCGCTTCCTTTTCCTCGAGCTGCAGCGTCTCCCTCCTTCGATTCTCTGATCTCAGCATCACGTAAAGCACAACTGCCAATACGATGACAAGCGCGTAGCAGCCGATAATCCCCTCCCACAACTCTGGGTAGTGCTGCTTGACTGTCTCCGTCTTGACCCAAAATGGACCGGAGATATTGCCGACGGTATAGAAGACGAATATCGCAGCCGCCTGGAAACTTTTCTTGGTGTTGCCTGCCACGTTTGCCATGCCCATACTGACAATCAAGGACGTTACCGGAGCGAATGCGCCGATGATTGTGTAGCCTGCAATCGGCGTCGCAGCGTGATGGTACCAGTCACTCTTCCAAATCATGGCGCAGCCCGCAATGACCGGCAAGCAACAAGCGACCAGCATGATCAGCCGGATGTTAGGCAGCTTCAAACTGAGGTATCCGCAGAGCAAGATGCCGATGAAACAGACTCCCCCAAGAGGCATCTGCCACAGCAATGAGTCGTACGCGGACCAGCCGAATGTCGACACGATGAGAGGTCCAAACCCACTGACCGCGCCGTTCACCGAGTATGCACTTCCCATCATGATCGCAATGAGCCAGACCTTCACATCCAGACATGCCTCCTTGAACTGGGACCATTTGACCTTCTGGCATCGGACGCCAAGTTGACTCATGCGCAGCCGCTCAATAGCCACCCTCTTTTCTTCCTCGGTGAACCACCATGCTTGGGCAGGGGAATTTGGAAAGGACAGAAACACAATTCCATACACAACGGTCAGCGCTCCTGCCATCAGATAAAGATACTGCCAATTCTTCAGGTCTCCGCCGGTAAGATGTGCAAATCCGAAATTGATCAAAGCCCCGATTATTGTCCAGCCACCAGTTGCAGAATACCACAGACATTGACGCCATGTCTGCTCAGCTTGCGTGTAATATCCGGAGATGATAACCATGAAAGCCGTCGGCATGATGCTTTCGGCAAATCCTAAGAAGAATCGTTGGACCCAGAGACCTCTGTAGTTCGTCACACCGGCAGTTGACATAGCGATCGCACCCCAAACGATGACAGCCAGCCCGATGGTACGGCCGAGATGAAAGCGCTGGAAGAGATATGTGAGCGGACCCACGCCAGCTAGCATGCCGAAATAGAACAAGGAGGTTGCCCAGCTGAGACGGGTCGTGGAGACCTTCGGAGGTGTTGAGGTCGGGTCAGTCACGACTTTGAGCTCCAGGTCCGTTGTCATCCCAAACACAGAGGCGCCACCGAGAATCGCCTGTCCCGGTGCGTGGTTAGCACAGCTATACCAGAAGGATATGCCCCAGGAGCTTCGTTATGATCGAGAGGACAGGTCTCGGACTTCGTCGTGCAGCAGAGTTCCTGGTCGGCCTTACCTTGTCATAGTAAACAAGGCCATATCCGATCCACATCAAAGGGATCAACGCAAAGTCAATCTTGCGTACCACCCGTCGCTCGACCTGTTTGTCCCATGGTTGAGCATACTCTGGCACCACCGAAGCTGCAATGTCTTTTTCGTCTACGTCGACACGATCAGCATGCTGAGGGCTTTGTCGAACTGTGCAGAACTTACTCGGCATAGCGGCGAAGATATGATCTCCTGCAGGTGGCAAATGGAACAGCTGCGGTATCCCGAATCGGAGGAATTACTGCGTGGATGAGATGCGCTTCCTGGGGGCGATCTCCGCCCAACAACCCAAGGACTTCTCAGCAACAAGCTCGACAAATATTCTACGAGCTTCAACCTTCGAACATAGCCAGATATCTTAGACTCGACAAGCTGTCACGCGAGACGATGGAAAAGTCTGCTAGCAAGCTCCACTCGGAAAGCACAATCCGTCGCCCAATTCGATGTGTGCAGGCTTCAAGCCCCGCAGATAACCCATCATTGCATCCTGACTAAGACTATGCCCAGTCCGCCATTGATTGCACCGAGCCTGCAAAGAGCCGCTCCAGTATATCGCGATGGGCTGGCGAAACAGGCCGCAGATATGGCTGTTCGTCCTCGGTCCGGTCAAAACCGGAAGAGACGACCACCGGTACCGCCCGAAACAATGGGGAATTTGTACACAGTAACCTTGCACGAAGACCGGCGTCGGGCGGAGCTACGAAATCGAATCACCTTCAGGGCTCTTCATGGATATCAACAGTCACCAGTTCTATATCTCAATGGTAGTGCACGCCACGGTTATATCTACAGCATGGACTCCTCACGGCGAGGGCTCACTTGCGCTCAACATCCTCGTTGTGCAGAATAACGCCCTTCACCGACTCGGTCTCGAGGATGTTCTCAACGGTGGACAGTCCTCTTGCAGCAATCTGCGCCTCGACCTTGTCGACTTCTCCGAAAATCCGGTCCATATGCTCGAGACTGATCCCCTTGGTTTCGGGCCACAAAAAGAACACGGCGACAAAGCCCAGGGCATTGATACCCACCAGAATCCAATAGGCGTTATGCCCGACTGACGCGAACATCACCGGCCAAGCCTGATTGATCCAGAGCGTCGTAATCTGTTGGCCAGATTGACTGACGTTGATGCCTTTGTCGCGCAGATGAGTAGGGAAGATCTCAGACGCATAGATCCAGCTGTTTCCCGTCAGTGAGATTGCCGCCGTTGTTTGTAGGGGAAGTACTTACGCCACAGGGCCCATTGCACCACTGTAGGACATTTGGATGACATAGATGAACACGACCGAGGCGATGGCGGCGCCACGGTTGAAGTTCGTCGCCGTCGGATACGCATCATTCAAGGCGGCAATGATGATGTAGCTGACAATCATGGTTGCCGAGCCGGCCAGCAGTGTGATTTTGCGGCCCCATTTGTCAACGCCTCCAGTGGTAATTCCGGTGGCTGCCAGGCACAGAACCCCGGATACCACATTCAACAGCAATGACATGGTGCCGGAGGAGAAACCCAACCCCTCGAAGATCAAGATGCCATAGATCATCAGGGCACCGACCCCTGAGAGCTGACCTAGAGCCATGGTGCTCATACCATAAGCGATGCGTTTCCACACGGGGAAGGAGCGGAGGAAGTACGACCAGGTCTGTGTGTTTTCATTCTCGAGGCGGTAGTCCCGGGCGGCCACCAGTTCGGCATACTCGTGCTTCACTTCATCATGATCTTGAGGCAGTCTGCGGACCCTTGAGAGTTCTTCCAGAGCACGAGCTGCCTGTTCGGGGTGGCGTTCGACTATCCAGCGAGGTGATTCGGGAATGGTGAACGAAGCAAGGATCAAGACTACACCCGGCACGACCTGCAGGGCGGTGGCGACTCGCCATGAGTTGTGTCCCGAAATCTTGACTGTGCCCAGCCCAACCACGTAAGCGATGAGGACGCCGATCTGGTAAGAAAGCTGGACAAAGGAAACAACTCTGCCCCGGATTCGGGGGTGGGAGACTTCTGCTTGGTATGCTGCAAGGTTGGTGCCAATCCTAGAGCGCGTGTGTGTCAGTGTGTTTGCCGGACGGCATAGAGGCAGGTCATGCTCACACTGAGGTGCCAATTCCAGCGATGATCCTCCCAACCACGACCATGGCGAAATTTCGGGCCCCAGCCTGGAGGGCCACACCAACCAGGAGAATGACAGTACCGTGGATAAAAGCATATCGCCGGCCGATATACCAGATGAGCCACCAGGCCACGAACAGATTACCAATGACATTGCCCAAGCTGACTGTCGGACCGAGTTAGCTGCCATCACTTCCACACAAGCCCGGGGATATTCCTTACTCATACTAGCCACAACACCAACTCTGGCATCTGAGAGGTGGAAATAGTCTGTGAATTTATGGTCGGAAATGATGATGGAGTATATGCCGCTGTCGAATCCTTGGAAGATATTTGCCAACGATGCGACGGCACAAATCCAATAGATGTACCAATCACCCTTCGCCATCTTCAAAACCTGGTCACTTGGAATTTGTGGTTTAAACTGGGAGGACAGAAGAAGGAGAACAGGGGACGAGTCTGAAACAAAACTTCCACTCAACAAGCTCTGCGCTCGTTATATACTTCTACCACGACTCAATCGTTGACCTTACCGTCGGGGAAAAGCGAAGCCAGACCTGGAGAGGACAACTGATGAATCCAAGCCTCAGGGTTCAACTTATACGCAAGCGGACCAAGCTGTCGGTAGCTTGGTCTCGACCCAAGCACCCGGTGAAGACCACGGTGGCACCGTTCATCCCCGTGTATCTGCATGGCCAATCTTGCCTCTTGGAGTCAATCACCGGTGGGCACACACTCGGCAACTGAGAGTGGCACACATTGTGCTGTGTAGATCTTTTCCTGGCTTATTGGCCGCCACCAAATCTCAGCCTTGGATAGAACTTCCACCAATCGCGACTCGGAAATTACCCCATATCGGCAGGGGGCTGCGGGGGATGCGTCAAGACGATAGCACGTGGAGAGTCGAGGAACGCCGAAGAGAAGCGGAACCAAGAATACCATGTACGCAGGACGGTGAAAATCTTCACTCCGGTGTCGTCTGGTGGGCTTTCCAAGAGCAAGTCAGCCATGGGGCGGGTCGTCTTGACCACCGGCCCCATGGCGCTGTCGATCGACTGGAGAGGCACCGGCAGCACAGTAAGTAACACAGTATTTGGACTCTTCTCTACTTGCAACAGATTAGATAACGTCGCTGAACACGTTATCAGACATTGCAAAACACCAGCTTTCACAATGCCGCTCCGCCCCGTCCCCATCGAGAATGTATCTATCACCTCACCCTTCTGGGCTCAGCTGCAAGACCGTGCCGGCCAAGTGACCATCCCGGCGATAATCGAGGCGCAAAAGTCGGCGGACCACTGGCAGTGTCTAACGTGGAAGGAAGGCCATCCCGTCAAGCCGCATCCCTTCTGGGACAGCGACATCTACAAAGTCACCGAAGCAGCATGCTACTACTTGCTGAGACACCCGGAAGACGAGGCCCTCCGGGCTGAAGTCGAGGCAGCGGTCGACATGATCTCCGCGGCCCAGCACCCCGACGGCTACATCAATTCATACTACACCGTCCGGGGGATTGGCCAACGGTGGACCAATCTCCGAGACATGCACGAATTGTACTGCCTCGGGCACCTGGTTGAAGCGACGGTTGCATACGAAAGCCTTACCCGCAGCGGAAGATTGCTGGCCGTGGCGACGAAAGCAATCCAGCACATTGACTCGATCTTTGGGCCCGAATCAGCCAAAAAACAAGGATACCCAGGTCACCAGGAGATCGAGCTCGCCTTGCTGCGCCTCCACGAAATGACGCACGATCCCCTGCCATTGAAACTTGCGCGGTATTTCATCCTCGAGCGCGGCCGACACTACGAGGATGACGGCGGGGATAACCACACCCCCAAGGGCGACGCCGCCGAGATCTACTTCGACCGCGAGGCCCGCGCCCGCGGCGCAGACCCCTACGAGCACATGGGCAGCGAGCACAAGCCCTGGTACCACGAGCCGCGCGACTACGCATACCAGCAAGCCGACCGCCCGCTCGCCGAGCAGACCCAACTGCGAGGCCACGCCGTCCGTGCCATGTACTATCTCACCGGCGCGACGGACCTGGTGCGTGTGATTGGCGACCAAGACCCAGCAGTTCGCAAGGTCCAGCCTGCCCTTTCTCGCCTGTGGCGCGACCTCGTCGACTCGAAACTCTACATAACAGGGGGCATCGGCTCCGTCACGCAATGGGAAGGGTTCGGCGACGCTTACGCCTTGCCCGACCTCGAGTCGCAAGGCTGCTACGCCGAGACGTGCGCCACCTTTGCGCTCATCCACTGGTGTCACCGGCTGGTGCATCTGAGGGATGCCGAGCTCCGGTCCGAGTATGCCGACGTCATGGAGACGTGTCTGTACAATGCGTTCCTCGGCGCCGTGAACACCCAGGGCGACGCCTTCTACTACCAGAACGTGCTGCGCACCGTGCGCGACCAGCCCAAGGAACGGAGTAAATGGTTTGGTGTGGCTTGTTGTCCGCCCAACGTCGCGAAACTACTTGGATCGCTGGGGTCGTTGATCTACAGCACCAGCGTGAGTACCGACACCGCCGCCGACGGAACCACCCCAGCCCCGAAGGAGACGCACCTTGCAGTCGCCATCCACCTCTACATCGCCAGCGAAGTCACCATTCCTGGCACGGACGTTACGATCCGCCAAACCACAAACATGCCCTGGTGCGGCGACGTAGCCATCACCATCACAGGCACGGCGGCGGCGGCGGCACCTGTCGGGCTCGGGCTCACGCTCGCGCTCGCGCTCCGCATCCCAAGCTGGGCCTCCCAACCAGGCCGGTTCGACTGTTCCGCCCACGGAGAAGTCAGGGACGGATACCTCCACATCGCCGTCCCGGTAGCCCCTCACGATGGTTTTTCGGCGGATGTGGGTGCGAACCCGGACGCACATTCAGTGACCACCATCCGACTCTCCCTCGGCGTCGCCCCGCGGATCATGTATGCGAATCCCCTGACGGGGAAGGACGAGCTTTGCCTCGCCCGCGGCCCGCTGATCTATTGTATCGAGGACGTGGACAACGCGAACACCGACGTGGACGTGCTCGCGTTGGAGGACAGCCCTGTCCGCGAGGGGCCGGAGATGGAGATCGCCGGTGTCGAGGGCGTGGTTCCGCTCATCGCCTCGGGCAGACAGCTCGCGCTGGCGCAGTGGGAACGTGAATCTGGCGATCACGGTCAAGGTCAAGGTAGACACGGTCTCTACGGATCACAACCTTGGCGGTATGAAGACCGGGTGCGCGATGTCGTGGTTGTGCCGTATTTCCTGCGGGCGAATCGAGGCGGGAATGGGGCGATGAGGGTGTGGACGAAGAGGATGCCCTCTGGGCGTAAGACGGCCGAGGAGGGGTGATGTGGCGTTTTATATGGGTCTTTGCCTTACTCTCCCAGAATAAAGCCAAACCAATGAATCGTCGGTTAGCCGACTCCTATTCAATATGAGCCCTTCGCTTCTCTAAACTTCCTAACGTATATGGCACATGGCCCGTTGGTCGAAGCGGCTGTCTGTAGTTTAGGGTTCGTTTGTCCAGGGCTCTGGATTCATCACCACTATAGCTATTTTATCTCCTACTTTCAACACTTTCACCAGCCGTTTCACTAGAATGAATCAAACTCGGTGCTGGCCATCAAGCCGAACATCCTGCCCTGGAACTTCCGGCCTAGTTCCTGCCATTTCACCTGTATCCCCGCGACCAGGACCGGCCAGGGCATGGCCATCCCGAGACCGGGATCATCGTGCACCTCGGGGATCGAGACGCGATCCCCCAGCCCGGCCGCCCAGGAGACGAGTTCGGCAATCATGGGCCCAAAGTCCGTGACTAGGCGTTCCTCGGCACTGGCGCCCGCTTCGACGTTCAAGTCCAAGAGCGTGAGGAGGAGGTGCAGAATCGGGGGCAACACGATTGGGTCGTGCGCCAGCGTCGGAAGCGTGTGCAGTGCCGTGAGGAGCAGGAGGGACTCGCGCGTCAGAGTTGGCAGTTGGAGCGCGTGAGGGCCGATCGTGGCGAGGAGGATGGTGAGCGTCTGCACGCTCAATTTGAGCAGCGACGGGTGTAAGAGGGCTGAGTTTGCGAGGTATGGCGAGGCGGATACCGCGGACAGAAGCAGAGTCAAGCGCGAGCACAGTGGTAGGTACATCGACTCGGCTAACAGACGGTGGAGGTCCTTTGGGATGCGCTTCGAGCGGGATTCCTGCCTTACGGCCGTTCGGGCGGCCACTTGCATGCGGGATGAGAAGGTGCGGACCTTGAGGATGTCGGGCCCGGTGAGCTTGTCGGCTGCTTCGAGTGCCATGGGCTGCAGCGTACGGTAGGACAGGGTCTTTGATATGCTGTCGATCGGTTGCACGGCTGAGGAATATGCTTGCTCGAGGTGTGGTGGGAGTCTTTTGGATGGGAATGATCCCTCGTTCGTGGTTGAGGCGGAAGCCGCTGTTATCTCTTCAGTGTCGTCGTCCGTGATACCGGCGAATTCTCTGGCCCCGAGAGCCACGGCTGCCAAGAGAGCTGAACGTGTCGACAAAGAGAGGTCCCCTTCGAAGTATGTGCTCGCCATCCAAGGGCCCATGATGGCTGGCTTCGATACGAGGCATGCGACCAGAGCTTCGAGCCGTAACCGCGACGTGTCCTCCATCGACGTGATCTCCTGCAGGTTGAGAAGAGTCGAAGCAAGTGGGAGGATGTTGGAGGACAATTCGTCGCCAAAGTTGGCTTTCCGACGGATCAAAGACGGGGCCGTCTTCAGTGCCAGTTCCATCGCTGGTAGATCATCGCTGGCGTTGAGCTGCTTGACGAGGGACGTTATATAGACGGGCGCAGTCGGTTTGTTGCGATTGACGAGGGTGGGATCGTCATCTGAGTCTTCAGGGTCGCTATCCGGAGGCGCATAGGAGCGTAAGTCGGCATCCTCTTCGTCTTCCTTGCCCCCCTCTTCAATGCCCGATCCTGCCTTGTCTGAGTCAGATAGCTCTTCGATGGCGATAATCTTCGATGTCGTGGGGAAGTGAGCCGTCGACAGTCGTTCGCGCTTGACAGGCTTCGAACTCGGTTGCAAAATGCGCTTCTTGACCGGTTCGGGCGCGGCAGCTGGCAGATCTTCTATGCTCCCGACCTCGTCTTGGATGTGGACAAGGTCGAGCCAGCCATGGGCCTCCGCCGATTCCAGCTCTTCTATGCCAAAGTTCATGACCTTGTCCGGTTTATCTACCAGCCTGGACACAGCTACAGCGACTATCATGCCCAGAAATCGAGCACGGGGGACGGACGCGGAGAGTCTGTTCGAGACCATACGAATGAAGGTGCCAGAGCTGGATATCCTTCTTAGAGCATTCTTGTCCAAGCGCCCGAGGTAGCCGACAGCAAGCAGAATGGTTTGGGCCGTTGCTATAAGGCGAGCACAGGTAAGCACAGGTTTCCAGCAACAAGAGACATTGCCATGGAAGGGTCGTGCATTCCCATAGAGTTCACTTACACTCCTGCTGAAGGATAGCATCATGCTGAATCTGAACTTTGTTTCCAAAGGTCTCCATAGCCTTCTCAAGAACCCGCCCAAGCTTATCTAGACAAGAGTTAGCGTACTGTGAATCAGAGGAATCCGAGAGAGTACCTTGACTTGTAGCAAGCGTTGCAGTGACAGCTCTTCGAGTGTCAAGACCGAGACCAGCGTACTCCCCACTCGTGCTAGTCAACCAATAGACAACATGTTCCTCCAACAAGACATTGTTCTGTGTAAGTCCCTTGACCATAGCTGCGACTCCTGAGACTGTCGAAGCGTTTCTCATCAAAGATTCCCTGTCTCGCACAGCTTCACCTCCAGTCTGCAAGAATTTCCGTGCCAGATCTCGCAGGATTGTGTCGAAGATAGCCCTTTGATCATACGACGAAAGGGTTTCCATCAATTTGTGCATCGGTGTCCATAATGCCCGGTTTCCAAGAAGAAGGGAGGTGTAGAGCTCGGTGATGAGTGTGTCTGTAGCCAAGTCAGGATTGGTTTTCGTTGTCATTGGTGAAATATGGCGGACTTACCGCGGTATCCAAGGCTCAAAGACCGCTTCAATACTTGGGAAAGCAATTTTGTCTGCTGAGGGTGGGTAGAGGGCAGCGTGGTGACTGCAACAGCCGAGATATTCTTTGCAAGCCATTTCGAATACTCGAGCCCATCTCCAAGCCATTTCGGCGCCGGGGCCAGTCCTTCAAGGTCCTGTTGCGTTGCGAATACCTGAGACATGGTTGAGAGTACCTTGCTGCCCGCCAACAAAGCAACCACCTCTTGCCAGAAGGCTCGTCGCTGTGCCTCAGCCGAAAGCAGCGTCAGGGCGTCGTGCAATAACCTGGACAAGATCTGAGTGCCAGCAAGAATCGATGACAAAACTGAGATCGTATCAACGAGTAGAGGATTTTGCCGCCCCGTGCTAGAGGCGGAAAGTCGCTTGACCTGCATGAGGAGCGCACCCAGTCCAGCCACACTGGTCAAGGATGAGAGCAAGTTGGCCTTGAGATTTGCGTGATTCCGCGACAACCGCTTCTGCTGCAAAGGAGCCCACAGGTCTGGTATAGTGGCCGTGACCAGCACATTGATGATCTGAGAAGCCTTGGGGCTTGGGACGTGGACGTTGAAGTCATGTTTGCCGGCGATGCCATACTGGAGATATTGGAGGACCGCAGCCAGATCTTCGACCTCCGGCTGACCCTTCAGGATTTCTCGTGCATCATCGGGTAGGGAAGGAGGTGGTGGCCTCTCCAAATATGATTTTTGAATGAATGCCGCTGACGCCTGGCGTTTGTGGCTGCTTTGACGCGAGTCGGTGGAGGCTGACGTCAGAGACGAGTCATGCGATGGCCGGTATGAGGAGTTCTGGCCGGCCGCATCACTGCCTTCCGATCCGAGGTCGACAATTGACACCTTGGATTTTGTACTGGCCGGATGGTGTGAGGTCGTCGGATCCTTCAAGGATAATGTCTCGAACCTGTCGATATTGGCCTGGACTTTGCGAGTCGTTTTGATGGGCTGGAAAAGATCCTCCATATTGGTGATCCCATGTTGATGAAACAATGGCGACGGAGGATCTTGCAACTTCTGGCAAGCAAGAGAATCGAGTTCTGCCAAAGTGAAGATGACGAGGCTGAGCAACAGCCTTGCGATTCGCCAAGCCAAGACATTTCGTCCCTGCCAATCAGCGTGAAGCGGACATTTGTCCGCTCTGCAGCGGCAGCCGAGCGGACGCGACGCAGTAAACTCGCTTCGCTCCCTGCTTCCTCGCCCTGTTCCGCTGCTGGGGAGACTACCTGAGCGATAGACATGCAAGATCTGCCATTTACTGTGCTCCAGTCTGACTTCAAGAGACGCTATGCCCCATCATGCCCACTTGAGTCAATCACGGTGCAATCAGAAAATGCGTTCTACCTCGTTTACCCAAAGACTGGCGGTCCTTGGCCTCAGGATTGATGTTTGAGTCATGACAGCGCCGCTGGTTCCTGCCCTTCACGGAAGCTTCCGACCAAAGGCGAAAAGTTGAGGAATAGAAATGATGTATAAGAATGCCTTGGACGTGACTACGACTGAGTGCAGCGGTCACAAAGAAATAATCCTTTGCTCTTGAGACGCGAATCAATCCCACTCAACCTCATTCAACCATGTCATGCCTCGTTTGGCTTGTGACCGGTTGCTCTCCAGGCGGCTTCGGGGAGTGTTTCGTGCACGGCATCCTCGCTCGTGGGGATAAAGTCATTGCCACAGCTCGGAATCTGGAAAAGATCAAGCACTTTGAGAAGGCTGGAGCAGCTGTTCTTCAGCTTGATATCACCCACAGCCAGCAAAACATCGATGATGCCATTTCCAAGGCTATCAGCATCTATGGTCGGATCGACGTGTTGGTGAACAACGCCGCTTATGTTGCCATTGGGACTTGGGAAGACTTAGAGTACGTTGGGCCCGACCACCGCTGACCCTCGCCACTGACGTGGATTTAGAGCCGATGACTTTCAAGCCCAATTTGACACAAACGTCTTCGGTACTATCAAAGTGACGCGCGCCGTCTTACCTCATTTTCGACAACGACATGCAGGGACAGCGGTATTCATCGGCTCGCTGTCCGGATGGGTAGGACATCCAGGTGTCGGTGCCTACGCAGGATCGAAACATGCTCTTGAAGGTCAGGGTTGCCGGATTCTCTCATATGTGTGCACGCTGACCGTGAAAGGCATTGTCGAAAGCCTTCACCACGAGACGTCCCATCTAGGCATCAGGACACTTCTCATAGAGCCAGGCCGCTTCCGCACCTTACTCCTATCCAGCCAAAACATGAAAGCCGCCCAGACCAAAGTTGGCGACTACGCGAGGTTCAACGAAGCCCTTCTTGCGGGTCTGGCGAGAGAGGATCAAAGACAGCCAGGAGATCCGGTGAAATTGGCAAAGATCGTTGTCGACCTCGTCCGCGGGGAAGGCGTTGCTCAAGGTCGACATGTGCCGTTCCGACTTCCCCTCGGCATCGACTGCTTCGATGAAGTAAAGGCCAAGTGCGAAGAGACGCTGAAATTGCTGGAAAATTGGAAAGACGTCATCCGCAGTACGGATCACGATGATCAGACGAAATAAGATGGCTTTGCACGTTCGCCATCATCGCAGATTCGGCTGGGGATGATTCAAAAGTGGTTGGGTTCTGTTCGAAGCTGCTCCTTGTATCAGGAACACACGCCGTTCGGTGCACATCCTAATCCCGGAACTGGCGATTGGTGCTACTGAGAACTCCACAGCACGCTAAGCCTTGCAGTCAGGGGCCATGATGGGAAGCGTAGTGCCAGCAGCACTGAAAATTAACATGATTCTCTTGCGATACACACGGACCTGCGAGAGTAATTGGCGAGGGCTGCAACAGTGCCGCCCTGAGCGCCCGCCATCGGCTTGACCTTGGACTGACTTACCTTTGAAGAGTGACATGGGTATGGAATAAACCGTCCCTGTCATAAGGTTGTCGCTGTTGACCCATAACGGCGTGTACAAGCCAGATTATGTCGTCCACGGAATATTGGTGGTAGCGTCAAGGTGATCGGCGCGCCAGCCGACTTAGACTAGCATCGTAGGGCAGGGTCCGAAGTTCCAACGCCCGCTGCTGTGATGGGTATGGTTGCAACGGTGCGCGCTGCGATGGGCGGGTATCCCTTCGTCGCTTACTAGTGGTCATCGATCAAGCGGTCACGGTGCTTACCGGTTGGTCAGGTTCCACTGCTGGAGTCTGTTCTTAAACTCCAGACGTTCTTGTTGACACTCCATAGACTCGATAGTTTCTCCAACCACAGCCATGAGGTGGCTTTTCCGTTCTTCAAACTCATCCACCGGAACCCAGCCCTCGTTAGCGACCGGTATATTCCGAGCCTTGAGGAGATCTTGGAAGTCGTTGTAACGGCGTCCATCCCTCTGGTGATTGATCAAGTCATCGCCCTCAATTTTGATGGGGCACTGTGCCACCATGTCTTGGTCACAAAGAAAGCCAGACCAATTGCGCTGAATGCGGAGTAACGTCGCTCTCAGAAGAAGGGCGTCGACATCTTGCCTGAGAGGGGCTCGGGCGAACAGTTCAACGTGTTTTCAAATGGGGGCTAGCTGTTCATCCTCCAGGAAAGTAGCAAGGTCGGGAAGAGTCTCCTTCAGTTCAGCGAGATAGTACTGTCGGAGCATAGACTGTCGATATCTCTCCCAGACCTCGAGCCTTCTCGCTTTTGGTAGCCCGGAGAAGTTCGCTGGAAGCTCCAGCAGAAGTGCGTCGTGTTCCACAACGATAACTGGGGGACTCGCGCTGCTAGAAATAATGGTAATAGGTTCGTATCCTGCCAGTCAACGATGCTCGTGATCTTTCCCTTCGGCGACACGAACAAATTGCCATAATGAAGATCTGTATGCCATAGCAGTGGTAGATGATGGCTGGCAGAATGTGGGAGGATACGGGGGATCACCGTGCAAAGTGTTTCGAGCATCTTACAGAGTGCAGCGGCGGACATGTCGCTTACTGCGTTTGTGGGGAAGGAGAACGGTCGATCGGCGGTCCTATCTTCATTCTGACGCATCATGACTTGTGCCATTGAAGAGCGTGCAATGGAAACGAGGTAAGCTTCCGGGGTACGCCCTGGCTAGTAAGCAGCTAGACAATTGGAAGTGTTCTGTATTGACTTACAAGGACCACAATCCACTCTAGAAGATGTAAGCGCAGGTCCAAGGAAATGCTCATGCGCCAGGGGCCCGATGCAGTATGTTTGGGTTCGCGTCGAGCTCACTGGAAAATGCCGCGAAAACCCGAATCTGGAGGCATCACCATCAAAGTACAGACTGCCATATCCATTGAACATGTGACTAGAGGCGACGAGTCGTTTGTGGATTGATAGGACTTCATCCACCACCGTGAGTTTCTCCGGGACCTCGAGGTCAGGCCACACAGTATTCAAAGCCTGGCCTCGAGCCTCTTCTAGAATGATATATTCGCATCCAACTGGATTGTCACGGCTGTCGCTCCAGGAAACCACCTTCGGTACTGGTAATTCCAACTCGGACCGCAGGAAATAAAGCGTTGCCACTTCACTTGCTTGACCAGACGTGGCGGGACGACCGGGTCAGGAATCTTGACTATTAGCCGCTGGTCACCAAGAACAGCGAGGAAAACTTTGTTGGAAGCTCCTTCTGCAAGTTTCTCAACTCGCATAGCAGCAGACGCGGCAGCTGATCCAGCTGTCTTGACGATGACATGTTCTAGAGCCTTCAGGTCAAATTCTCGGGTGTGCTCTTGTCGCTTTGTAGGCTCGTTCCATAGCCAGCGACCTGTGGTAGGGTGAAACAGATCCGGGCTCGTGGGTAGAATTGGAATTGGCCCATCGGAACTTCTGCAGAATGCGTCTTATCGGCTTTATAGATAAAATCCGCCTGCTCGTAGGTCCCATCGGGCGGGTAACGCGAAGTAGAAAATGTAATGTCTTGCATGTCTAAGACGAGCGAGGTTCGTGTGTGAAAGAGAGAGAAAGACGTGGTCTGGATGGTGGTAGAACAGTCAAGGGAAGGAAAGGCCCAAGTGAATTTATGTAAAAGCGGCGCGCTCTCGCCTGTGTGCAGTAGGTGGGCCGCTTCTGAGCCGCCCTCGCCGCCTCAAGTCTCCCATCACCAAACATCAGTGCCCCCTTCTTCATCAATTGGAACTTGTCTCCTACGGGTACCGTGACTCCTCGAATAACAATCCCAGAAGCCAATGCAATAGACGGATCGAAGAGCTGGTGGCGTAGATAGGGCGGTGACCGCTAGCCAGCGAAATGGCGATTCCCATCTCGTCGCTCCTCACCAACGGCACACCTACGCCTCCCCGAGAACGATGGTAAGACCCAAAGCCTGGTGAAGGGTCACCGAGTCTGACTCCTCCCAAGGACATATCTTGATGGCATACTGTCAACAACGTCACCTTATGCCGGTGAGGAGTTCGTTCCCGGAGAAGAGACCATCGATGCCCTGGAGTCTTCGCGTGTCCTGGTCATCGGCGCCGGGGGCCTAGGCTGTGAGATCCTAAAGAATCTGGCCATGTCAGGCTTCAAGGACATCCACGTCATTGATATGGACACCATCGACGTTTCAAACCTCAATCGACAATTTCTCTTTCGCCAATCTGACGTCGGCAAATCCAAAGCTGAAGTGGCCGCCGCTTTCGTCGAACGACGTGTGCCCGGCGTCAAAATTACGCCCTATAACGGTAAGATCCAGGACAAGGATGAAGACTACTACATGCAATTCAAGCTCGTCATTTGCGGCCTCGACAGCATCGAAGCACGAAGATGGATCAACGCCACGTTGGTCGACATGGTCGACATGGAGAACCCTGAATCCCTCAAACCGCTCATTGACGGCGGAACAGAAGGGTTCAAAGGCCAGGCTAGAGTCATCCTCCCCAGTCTGACATCCTGCATCGAGTGCCAATTATCCATGCACGCACCACGAGCCGCCGTCCCGCTGTGTACCCTTGCCACCATCCCTCGTCAACCTCAGCACTGTATCGAATGGGCCCACATTGTCGCGTGGGAGGAACAACGCAAGAACGACACCCTCGACACGGACAACCCCGAACACATCTCCTGGCTGTACAGCACAGCGCTGAAACGTGCACAAGAATTCAACATCCCTGGAGTTACATATTCAATGACGCAGGGTGTGGTAAAGAACATCATCCCGGCCATTGCGAGCACGAACGCCATCATCGCGGCATCGTGCTGCAATGAGGCCCTCAAAATCGCCACTTCCTGCGCCCCGTTTCTGGACAACTACATGATGTATACGGGCGACTCCAACGAAGGCGGTCTATATACGTATACGTTCGCGGCGGAGAAGAAAGACGACTGTCCTGTGTGCGGGAATCTGGCCCAGACCATCACCATCGATCCACAATGGACGTTGGAGGATTTCCTGGCAAGTCTGGCCGAGAGAGCCGAGGCGCAGTTAAAGAAGCCGAGCATCCGCACAGAGGCGAAGACGCTGTACGTCCAAGCTCCGAAGAGTCTGGAAGAGCAGACACGCCCGAATTTGCAGAAGAAGATGAGCGAGTTGGTCAGTGATGGGGAGGAGGTGGGTGTAAGTGATGCGGCGTTCACGATCAGTTTCAAGTTCAGACTGGTGTACAAGAAATGAAGACGCATGCTCACGACGAAGCGTACGACTAAACGACTCCAGACTGACGAGCAATGACACGACCATAGACTTGTGCACATCAGCTATAGGTTCAAAGTCATGGCACTTTTTGATTTTGCAATCGTGGTATCTAAACTCGGGAAGCTTATGCTAAACGCCTTGCAATGCACGAGGACGCCAGGTTCAATCCACTCACTCGTATCTCATGGCACATGGTCTAAAGTCCCCATCATTTCTCCATCTCATCCAGTGCTTTCAACAGCCTCTTCGCCTTCTTCTTCAGGATGTCGACGCTCTGGAGGAATAGGTCATCACTGGGAAACTGCCCCGTACTTTCCACGTTGAAGATGAAGTGATCTTGCACCCTCCCCAGCTTGACTTTGCCCTTGAACTCATCGTGTCGGAGACACTCTCTTGAGACCGTGTCGCGCATAACGTCTGCAACTACTGCCTTCTCGTCACCCTCGTGGTGGTGATAGGCTGCTGTGTTCCCTTGGGCTTCGGCGGGAGTTACTCTTTCGAGTTTGATGACGCCATCAGGGAAGCATTGTTGGAACTTGATCGCATCCGTGCCCAGGATAGGCTGGGTGATGGTGATGGTTGGTAGTAGTCGGTATGTCGCGGTGGCCACGGGTGAAAATTTCGCGTGATCCCCTCCTTTGCCCATGTGCGCATGCATAACCACATCGATCTCCTGGCCTGGCCGGAGCTTCGCGATCAAGATATCCGGACTGACCGCTTGGATGGGCTCATCACCAAAATTGGCCGCCTGCATGCCCTGCGGCAAGAATTCAAAGTGCCGCGAATACACGTTGCTGTTGATGTACTTGTCCTCTGGCTCGGTCGCGTTCTTGTCGGCATTGGGATTGCGCTCGCATTTCACTTTCATAGACAGGACGATGGTGTTGGTGTCAGTGAGTTCCGTCACGCGCGCCACGGTGTCTACGTCTGTCTGGACGAAAGGCGTGAGTTTTTTCAAGGCCTGTATATTTCCTATGAGTGGGACGAGACCCAATCGATGGGCGAGGACTTCGTCCGCAATGACAGAGGTGTTGTTCTGGACGTAAACTTTTTCGATGGCTAGGGTGGGGACTTCGGCGAGGAGGATGCGACGGAAGGCATTGGCGATGGACGCGTCGACACCAATAAGGGAAAACGTCGCTTCATGCTTTTGGTTTTGGTGGAAGACTATCTGAAGGGTATCCTTGAACTTCTCGAGGGACCAGGAATTGTCCTCGCCCGCATGGTGGCCGGGAAAGTCAGTCGAGGTGATGTTGGTCACAGTTTCGGCGTTGATACCAACGAGCTGGAAGACTCAGTATACCATGCTGATTATAGGCGTTATGCCACGTACCTTCCGCCTGTCTAGGCTGTCTTGTGAGGGTTGTATGGGCGCCATGGAGAGGTTGGTCTCCAGTACGCTGGACAGACTCGAAAAAGCGACAGAATATCGACTTCCCAAAGAAATTTGGTCTCGGCCCCACTCGGTGCTGATAGCCCTCTCTCATTGGTCAGACGTCGGCCAATCAGTGGGCCTGTAATACGGAAAGCAGCTGTCATAGAGCCGACATCAAAGGGCACATTGAAATCGCCATCGTCCGCTTCGATTCCAGCGATTGATGCCGCCGACTTCGAGGCATTAGCTCGACAACCATCGCGTCCCTCCTCCTGGCCTCGTGCCAGCCTAGACAAGCATGACAATGGCCGCCTCCTTCGCACGAGCCGCGAGCCGGCACTCGCACTCGGCCAAACGACTCTGCCTCCGACCTAGCTTTCAGCTTCAATCGAGACAGGGACACACTCCTTTCTTGACCCGCGCCATCGGTACCACGCCGTCTCGAAGGCAGGAAGGCCCTCCTCGCACGAGCCCCAATCCCACGCCGAATCCAGAGTCTGCGGGCGGGCCCTTGACAACGACTATCAGCCCGACCGATTCGACTTTTACCCAGCACGTAAATCAGGAGAGAACCGAATACGTCAACAAGGCCCCCGATCAAAACCTGGGCGATGACTTTGAGACAAGAAAGATTCGGCATTACACCGTCAACTTTGGCCCGCAACATCCCGCCGCGCACGGCGTGCTGCGTCTCATTCTCGAGCTCAACGGAGAGGAGATTCTACGAGCGGATCCTCATGTGGGCTTGCTGCACCGCGGAACCGAAAAATTGATCGAGTACAAGACATATCTCCAGGCGCTGCCCTACTTCGACCGATTCGACTATGTCTCGATGATGACCAATGAGCAAGTCTTTTCGTTGGCTGTCGAGAAGCTGCTCAATGTTGACATTCCCGAGCGAGCCAAGTGGATTCGAACCCTGTTTGGCGAGATCACCAGAATTCTCAACCATCTGATGTCAATTCTGTCACACGCCATGGACGTTGGTGCTTTGACCCCGTTCCTCTGGGGCTTTGAAGAGCGAGAAAAGCTCATGGTGAGTATTGAGACGTGTTCGCAGGAACTATATTTTAACATTTGATAGGAATTCTACGAGCGCGTCTCTGGCGCACGACTCCATGCTGCATACGTCCGTCCTGGTGGTGTCAAGCAAGACATTCCCCTTGGACTGCTGGACGACATTTATGCTTGGGCCACTCAATTCGGTGACCGCATCGACGAGACCGAGGAACTTCTTACCGACAACAGAATCTGGATCGGCCGAACCAAAGGCGTCGGTGTCGTCTCTGCTGCCGACGCCCTCAACTACGGCTTTTCAGGTGTCATGCTGAGAGGTTCTGGCGTGCCGTGGGATATTCGAAAGAGCCAACCGTATGACGCTTACGATAGGGTTGATTTCGACGTGCCGGTGGGTCAGAATGGTGACTGCTACGATCGATACCTTTGCAGGATGGAAGAGTTCCGACAGTCATTGCGAATCATCCACCAGTGCTTGAACAAGATGCCACCTGGACCAGTCAAGGTTGAAGACTACAAGATTGCGCCGCCGCCGCGAGCCGCCATGAAAGAGAATATGGAGGCTCTGATCCATCATTTCTTGCTCTACACCAAGGGCTACACGGTTCCGCCGGGCGACACCTACACTGCGATTGAAGCCCCCAAGGGCGAGATGGGCGTCTACGTCGTCAGTGATGGGAGTGAGCGGCCGTACCGGTGCCACGTTCGTGCTCCAGGGTTTGCCCATTTGAGCTGCTTTGACCAGATCAGCCGTGGCCATCTACTTGCTGACGCAGTAGCCATAATTGGCACAATGGATCTAGTCTTCGGGGAAGTCGATAGATAGGCCTGTCGCAACGACGAGGAATTGCTGTCAGAATGAGCGGTTTGAAGCTGCTCGAGATAGAGAGGTTGGGAGGGGGTATGGGAGAGGAAAGGGGCTGTATACACAAATTGGTCACGTGTGGTCACGTGCTAATCACGTGGCTATCATAACTAACAGTGATTAAGGTACGCTTCACAACTTCATTTAGACAGCATGGAGAGGAAATAGGAGGCCAATGACCTCGAGATCGTCCTGTGTATATACAGTGCTAGTTGCATGCATCCCATTTGTGTCGATGGACTGTCTTTAAAAAGGCAGTGTTGCATGCCACCCTCGACTATGTACACGGCTATGGCGCCCTGAGTGGCTCGTACAGTAGTTCGTTCAGCCCTGCAGCGGAGCTGAATCGTTCCTTGCTTCTTCCCCACCTGAGTTTCGCATGCTCAGCCACGAATACAGCCCCCAAACCTTCTGGCACGATACAGCTGCGACCAGACCCAGCGCTCCTTTTCACCAGAGCTTCCTGCGCTCTGCCTTTCCAATTACGCCTGACTCCTGCCAGCTACTCCCTTCGCTGTCCTGCTGTCCTTGTGCCCTGCCTCGATTGCGGTCGCGTGCATAATCGGCCAAATCTGCACCGCTGTCAGCCTCGACGATACCCCGCAGTCCGAGTCTCTCGCCGAATACTTTTACGTGCGGCTGTCCTCAGAAGTCAAGAGTGGCATAAGGCTCGAGGAGGCTACATTACGACTTCTTTCCACCAATACACCTGTCTATCTCTTGGGGTCGGACCTGCCCCAAGCATTGTGAAGGACCACGGCTGTTTACCCAGGCGCTTGCCTGACCCGCTGCAACCATGAGTGCTTGTAAGTCTCAAAATCTGCTTTCGAAGACACTCTCCTTTCCTGTGCTTGCATGTGTACGACCGAGACTGTAATATGCATTCTTAGCCTTGGGACTTCTGGCACGAGGACGAGACTACGGAATATCTGGGCGGCCGAGCTGAAGACTTTTGGTACACACGGCTGACTCCTCGAACAGTCAGTGGCATGATGAACAAGCTGCAAGGCCAGCCCGACAGCTACGACAAGAAATCCAGGTACCGCTTCGGAAAGACGCTGGGAGCCGGCACATATGGTATCGTCCGCGAGGCCGAGGTCGGCGGAGAAAAGGTCGCAGTCAAAATCATCCTCAAGAAGAGCGTCAAGGGGAACGAGCAGATGGTGTACGATGAACTCCAGATGCTGCAGACCTTGAAGCATCCGCACATCGTCCAGTTCGTCGACTGGTTTGAGTCAAGAGTCAGGAACATCCATATTACTCAAGCGTTGGCTGAGACTAACACGCCGACAGGACAAATTCTACATTGTGACCCAACTGGCGACGGGTGGGGAGCTGTTCGATCGCATTTGTGACAAGGGCAAATTCACAGAAAGAGACGCCTCACAGACGATTAAGCAGGTCCTGGAGGCTGTCGACTATCTACACGAACGGAACATCGTTCACCGAGGTACGGGGACTACACAACTCTGCAGGCATGACCGCTGACAACGGACTACAGATCTCAAACCAGAAAACCTGCTCTACCTCACGAGGGAGCCCGACTCCGAACTTGTCCTTGCAGACTTCGGTATCGCCAAGACTCTGGAGAGTCCTGGTGCTGTCCTGACCTCAATGGCCGGCTCCTTTGGTTATGCTGCTCCTGAAGTCATGCTCAAGCAGGGTCACGGCAAGGCGGTCGACATGTGGTCATTGGGCGTCATCACATACACCCTCCTCTGCGGCTACTCTCCTTTCAGATCCGAGAACCTGGCAGATCTCGTCGACGAATGTAGGAGCGGCCGAATCATCTTCCACGAGCGATACTGGAAAGACGTCAGCAAAGATGCCAAGGAGTTCATCTTGACTCTGCTTCAACCAGAACCGAAACGCCGCGCCACTAGCAAGGAGGCACTCAAGCATATCTGGCTCACGGGTGAAACTGCTTCGGACCACGATCTCCTGCCAGAGATCAGAGCCTACCTCGCAAAGATGAAGCTGAAGCGGGGTATCGAGCTGGTCAAGCTGGGCAACCGGATCGATGCTTTAAAGATGCAAGACCAGGAAGACCCAAGCTCCCCCGACGCAAACGACATCCCTGCCAACGCCCAGAATGCTGCCGGGCTAGCCGTCCGAAATCATATCAGAGGTGTGTCACCCGGCCGAGGCCTTGCGACCAGTGAAGCAAATGAAAAGCGATCATTGAGCAATGCTGCCAAAAGTGCTATTTTCCGCGAAGTCGTGCTTGCCAAAGTACGGGAGATGAAGGACAAGGAAAAGACCGACAAGCTTGTTGCCGACGTCACGAAGGAGCATGAACGTAGGAAGAGTTTCTCCGGTCAGAAGTCGTGATGCAATGCAAGGGTCGACACTTTCTCGTTCTTTTGGTGATCATGAGATGAACACGCCAGTACGGCTTCGAATGGTATGATTATTGGGAGAGGCTTGGGGAGACTTCAATACCCGTTTGGAGGAGGAAGGTGTAGGGTCATGCCTTGGAGGAATCAATGATTAAGCACGCGGGTCACTTATCGACTTTAGCTGAACTTCAGCCTCGACGAACACGTGAGTACCTAAGTAGCGTTATCAAATGCATACGGTTACTACGCACCCGGCCCGCTTACTGGGGATCGAAAGGTAGCCCAGAGCCATACTGTGTACGCGAGCACCTATCACGTTTCTACCGACCCGCTGATCGACCACACATCTACCGAGCATTGACATGCCATTTGAGGTGTTAGTCCTCCGGTCCCTCTGGCACCTTGACGTATGGTCTGCCACGTCTGCCTAGGTGTAACATTCTCCTCTCCGCAATGCTTGGTCACAGTCGTAGACCAGAATATCAATCAGATCAGACACTTTGATTCCTTTTTTCGTGTAGAGTAAGCCAGCACGATATTTAAGTCATGCTTTCCGCGTTGTACCGTGAACCCGGCTTCGTCTTTGTCTAATCCTCCATTCCAGCTACGGACGAGGATATTTCGAGAGTTTATCGAGTTTACCGGAGTTTATTGACTTGGGCGCCTCGCCTCGACTCACCTCACTCGAGCAGCTCAGGCAGCTCAGGCACATACTTGGCTAACCAAAAATCATCGCGTGCAAGATCAATCAAGATAGCGTACTTTTCCCTTGTCGAGCAGCATCACCAGCCAGCATTACTACTAGTACTACTAGTACTACTACTACTACTACTACCACCACCACCATCACCACCACTACTACCATGTCGTACGAATCCTTCTTCGCCTCCCGGGTCTACGCCATCACCGGTGGGGCCAGCGGGATCGGGCTCGCCACGGCGCGCCTCCTCGTGCAATACGGCGCCAGTGTGTCCATTGCCGACATCCACGTGCGCGCGCCCGAGGAGCTATTCGCGACCGGCGGCGGCGACGACACCACCCACGCCACCGCGCTGAGCCAACGCGTGCGTGTGCACAAAGTCGACGTGCGCTCGAGGCAGGACGTCGACGCCTGGATCGCGGACACGGTGCGCGCGTTTGGCCGGCTCGACGGCGCGGCGAACCTCGCCGGCACGATTCCTCGGGACCATAATGTCGGGGGTGTCGAGGATATGGATGACGAGCAGTGGCGATTCGTCATGGACGTCAATGTCTATGGGGTGATGAATTGTATGCGTGCAGAACTTGGGGCGTTGGGGAGAGCGGAGGGTACAAATGTGTCAACGGTAGGGGAAGGGAAAGGGGAAGGGGAAACGATGAACGCGCCACACGATCCGGCAGAGGCGACGACGACGACGACGACGACGACGACGCGCGACCACTTTAGTATCGTCAACGCGGGGAGTGGGTTGAGTGTGCGCGGCCGGGAATACACGAGCGCGTATACGGCGAGTAAGCATGCGGTGTTGGGCCTGACGAGGTGTGCGGCCAAGGAGGTGGGCAAGAAGGGGGTGCGCGTGAACTGTATTGCCCCGTAAGTGTGTGCTCTTCCCTCTCTCTCGCGGGCGCGCGCGCGTTGGGCTCCTCATATCTGGGGGAAGTTCCTCCTCGTTTCTCTTCAGTCTCGCTGGAGTCCAGGCTTGCCTTACTGGCGGGTTGTTAAAACGGAAGCTGATGCACGCAGCAGTGGCGGGACTGATACCCCCTTGATGAGGCAGTCGATGGCCATATCAGAGGGGTCGGCTTCCGCGGAGGATTTCTCGACCACGGCGTTGGGGAGGTTGGCGCATCCGAGAGAGGTCGCGGATGCGATTGTGTATCTGTTGAGTGATAGGGCGAGTTTCGTCACGGGGACGTGCTTTTGTGTGGATGGCGGGTGAGTTGATTTCATGACTGTGCTCCAGCTTGTGCTCGTGTGCTTCCGGTCACGGTGACGGTCACGGTATGGTCTGCTAACGTGGTGGTGCTGGTAGGTGGGCTTGTTGAGGTGGACAAGTAAGAGAGGAGGAAGCCGAGATAAGAGACGAGGAGATCATGAGGAGAGGGTGTTGAGAGCGTAAAGTGAAGGAAGGTAGTTGACTACACGACTTCTCGACCAGATTAGACCGAGTAACCTGGTGGTAGAAGACTTCGTCTCAAGACCTGCTCTTCCACCGGGAAGAATGGGTATATTACCGATAGTGCCCAGGAATATCAGTATTAGACTGAAGAAACATGTAGTGCTGTGATGTGAGGGCACAATTGATCGGCGGGAGGACTCTGCACGACCAACAGTCATGTGTGAGCCAGTGCCACACCGTTGTTTATCGCCGTTCGTTTATGGCTGTTGCCTTGAGCCGTCTATAAAGTCGTCATCGCAACGGTATGAAGGGCCGCAGTTTGGTCGTGGACTCACGTTGACGCTATCGGTACCTGTTCCCATCGACGCCTTGGTTGCATATTGGAATACCACCTGCCTATAGGGCGGTCAATATTTCGTAATAGAATCACCTTCCCTTTGCTTGTGACGGCGTTTGTCTGTCGTCGATATTGTAGTATTCGTGGTTGAAAATCTCGCAAGCACTGCTTCCGCGCACGTCTTCAGCTAACAGGTCGATGAAACCAGAATGCGGCTGTATAAGTACTTCCGCGTCTATTCCGTCGCGGCTTCTGAGCATCGCATGCAGACATTGTAAGAGGACTTCGAAGACCTGTCGAAGAGGCTAGGCCGTCGAAATGAAGGCTGCATTTAGGCATTGGTCGAATTGCCGAGGCGTGTTTACCGGGATCGCCTCGCGTTTTTGCATGAGGCATATGCCCTCAATGTGACACGGAGGATGTGGCTGCGCTATTAGGAGAAGCACCCTCTCGGGATCTAGTCGTCGTACGACGCTTCGTAGCACAAGACGCACGCGCTATAGCCATGGAAAGTGAAGAAGTGGTTTCTTTAAGAGTTACATCAACGAAGAGCGAGAGTACGATGGTGAGAATGACGGAACGCCGAGCTTGATCCGAGAGATCATTTACAGAATCCCGCTCACCAGTGTTGACTTGGACTCTCTTCGTGTCTTCCAGTTCAGTAACGTGAAGAATGCAATGCTGACATGCTAGCTCAGCGCATCTGCCAGCGTGCGTTCCGCACAATTGCTCTGACCGACCTCATACCACGCCCAACAAGGAGTTACTCCTCTGGTCCTTCACCCGCAGCAGCTACCACTACCGAGGGAGCGAAGAACGCCATCTCTCCGCGATGGCTTTCCGACACAAAATCCCGGATCGGCCGATGCATCACTTTTGGTCTGGCCCCTAAGCTCGTCGATGAAGCTGGCAATCTCCTCAGTGTCCTCGGCCGAGACTGGCGGGAACTGGTGGCAGGTAGTGAGGGTTACCTGAGTTCGGAGAAAAGAGCTGGTCTACACAGGCAAAACATAGTCTGGGGCGAGCAGGACTCTATGGGCCACGTCAACAATGTGATGTATGTCCGCTTTGCCGAGAGTGGACGCTGCAATTGGATACGCAGTTACAGCAGACACGTCGACCCGGCGCACAAGCGGCAATGGGAGGAGTTGTTGACCTCCCGAGGCATTGGACTGATCCTGAAGAGTATTACTGTGGACTTCAAGTTTCCCATGACTTGGCCAGATCGTATATCTGTATACCACAAGTTGAGGTCGCGGCCGGACGAGTCGACCGAGTCGCTTATACTTGATGTCTTGATCATGTCCGAAGTCAAGCAGAGACCGGCGGCGAGGTGTCTTGAAGACGTCGTCGTGTATGACTACCGAGCTGGCAAGAAAAGCACGCTGGAGCCGTTCATGCTCGAGCAATTCAAACAGACCTTTGATCTGCAGGAAGCTGCCAAAGCCGAGAACCATGGGAAGATCCAGCAGATCGAACAGCGAGTGAGAGTGCTAGAAAAAGAGTCGTGGGATAGACCTGATGCGAAGGAGGATTTTGGCAGTGCGCAGCGCCCATAAAATTTTCAAATCTCCCGAAGCCGCCACAGTGAGTCTGCCTCGCCGCCAGCGTGTCGGTGTGGTCTAACTGGGGGAATCCCGTCGTGCTCGGATTCTCCGCCGCTTGCACAATACGAGGTCTGCCGATCATGGGGTTGAGGCAAATTCTAGCCTCAGCCAGCCTGACAACTGTCCTTCTTTCGGGCCGGCCCTATGCAAACAATTGCAAGGACCATGATCGTCAAGGCGTGCGCTTCTCGTTAGCTGTCGTCGGTGAAGCCTGTGGTGCTTTGCATTGGAACTGCTACCTCACCATGGGTATCCATATGGGTGTCCCAGCTTTCAGTCGGGGTATAACCCAGAGGACGATGCCACTCTCCGGAGTGTATACAGTGGCTCCCTTTCCAGGCAGTCAGGCGTGGGGATATCAGGTCGTTTTCTTACCTCGATCTCCCGCGTTACAGCGTCATCTTTGTGCCTGCCTGGCTTGCAGTGGCATTTCATCGGTGCCTAGAAATCACCGTGCCGGAATTTTACGGTAATTGACCAGACATCAGTGCGATATGTACAATACAGACTCGCCAATAGACCTGCGGATGCTGATCATGCTCGGTTGTCTCTGGAGCAAGTGATTCTGAGGGGTCTTTCGGTGTGCTCCGATGAGTTGCCCTTGAAGTCGACATATCGTTGAGAGACCGAGCACCGGCAGCAACGTCAAGTTATAAGAGAGGATAATGGGCGAATGACTTATCATGTGTGCAGTGAATCGACGACGTGGGCAAGCCACGACATCGCCCGCATGTATCAGTGACGCCGTCACCATCCTATACCCCTACTTATACATGTACATCGACTCTTGATCCGTCCAAGCTTTAATTTCCCCGACATTAGCATGGCCGGCGCGCTGCGCCTATATTTTTATCCATTGTCGTGTTAACTGAGGGCTGTCAATCCCAAGCATTTATTTCTTACCCAAGACGATACTCCGCATGTCATCTACCAGGCTTAGGAACACACCGGAAAATCAACATTTCACTCGTCACGATGGTGGCTCCTCTTGATGCTTCCGAACCTCTTCTTCAGCCCACCACTAAGTCTCTTGCTGAGACTTCCGCTCCGGCCAAGTCCCGTGCCCGTGCCCGTATCGCCATCATCCCAGCCGGAGCGGTCGACCGTATCGGGCATCACAGCGCTGGAACTCCGATGGCGGGTCTTCATCTCGATGCCGTCCGTGCCATTGGTCGTCGCCTTGCCGGCTTCGTGGGACGAGATCTTATGCTCCTTGAGGGCTTTCTCCAAGCTGTAACTCGGCTCGCCCTTGCCCTTGATGTCATCCGGCTGGTACTGCACGCCGGGCCAGCGCTTGTAGGCGCCGCCCTCGGGCCCGCCCTCGATCATCATGTTGTCGCCCTCCTCGTAGTTGTAGACGTGGCCGTTGCGGTCGACGTTGCCGGGCGCAAAGGCCGCGACGCCATCGAGAGGCCTGTGGCCGCGGACCGAGTCGATGATCTTCTCCTTGGGCGTGGCTTTGAGGGCTTCGGCATTGGAGTCCGCCAGCGCGGCGATGGGCGAGTTCGTCGAGTTGTTGCGCGCGAACAGCGTGGCGTCGTACGGCCCGCCGTGGTGGTATGCGCCCCCGCCGCCCGTGAGGTCGAGGTTGTCGATCGTGTCCGGCTGGATGCGGTGCTTGCGCGTCGCGTGCCGGGCCCGGTCGGCCACGTGCTTCTCCTTGACCAGGGCGTCTAGTGGCCGGTGCGACATGTCGCCCGGGTAGCGCTCGGAGAGGGATGAACCCCGCCGGCGACGGCCGGTTGGGGTCGATGCATTGTCACCGGCCCCGAATGCTTCCTGCCTGTGGGGTTGGGATGGGGAACGTAGCGATTGAGGGCTCAGCGGAGTGTGTGTTACGGTTGGGGAGTTCTTGCCCGCGCCGGCTCCGGCGCTGGTTGGAGACCTTGCGGAGTGGGGAGGCGAGGGATAGGACTGTGGCGGATATGGCCCTCCTGCTGCCGCTCCCCTGCCAGAACTGGTCACGGGGGAGCCGTGGGTGCCGCTGTTCAGAGATGCGGACCGCTTCACCTCCGTGGTTGTCGTGTTGGAAAGCGAGCTCTTGCGATACGGGTTCGTCTTGGACAGGCGTCTTCCTAGCTGTGGCTTTTGGGGAGCCTTAACGGGGGGAAGCGTGGCGCCGGCTCGGAAACTGTTGCCAGGACCATCTTCTTGGGAGGGTTCGGGCGCATTCAACGGGTCGAGAAGGTATTTCGTTGCCTAGCAGTCCCCAATGGTCAGTTTTGCGTGGTGCGGAGATATATAGGTACGGGTTGATTCAACCAGCACTGGAGGGAACAAGAAAGACATCACGTACCCAATCTTTGTCGCCGGTATCCATCCTGTCGAGACTGGAGGGCGTGGTGCTTGCAAGAAGCTGAGAGGAGGAGGTCTGCAAAGAGGATGACAGTTGACGTTGCTCTCGCTCGAGAGGCCTTGTATGGGTAGGAATTGAAATGGAATACTGCGTCTCCCAGCTTACGGGGTGAGTCCGAGTTCAGTGTAGGCGAGATAAGAAAATATGAGCATGAGCCGAAAAATACTCGTTACTTTCAAGATTCCATATGCATAATGAGGAACACGAGATGAGCTGGAGACACCAGACCTGCTCTGCGTGCCAACGGAGCATGGCGGGCAAGCGGTGCGCACACCCATGCTCGTGTCGATGTCATGGTGGAGTGAATGCCGGATTCAGTCGAGGCAAGTCTTTCGGCCTGGACGGCGGGGCCAATCCAGACGGCCCCTCGCACCGGCCTTTAAAGGCTCTTTAGGCATGAAGCCACTGCATCATTGGCCTTGTGCCTCGGTATGATGCGCTAAGTTAAGCCTAATCAACCTGAAATCCACCGATGGACTGTGTAGCCCTGTGGAACCCGTTATCCTGCTCTTTGACGCGCAAGCGAGACTGCCAAACAGGCTGACAAGGACGCTGCCGAAGCCCTCCGATGCTTCGTACCCTGTACGTACGATTGAGACGAGGCTCTGCTGTGCACAGAGTACCCGTTGTGAGTGTGCATGTTTCTTACCGGGCCCGCTGGATCCTGCTTGATGCCCGGTAGACCTGCAACGGGCTTAGTATGCAGTCCTAAACATAAGCTTAATTATGAACACTGTCGATGGAGAGAGACATCAGGACTTCATAAAGCCGAGTGACGTTGATAAAGGGCAGCGCAGGAACCCAGAACCATGTAAATCAAAAGGAGGCATGTAGGTGCATGCGAATGCTGAAATAATCAGGGCAAGGACGCTGCACAACCTGCTGGCGATGTTGTAGAGGCATCGAGTCGACTCGGCTTTGCCCAAGGTACCATGTACTCGTACTCGTGACACGGACTCGTATATGTGCATGGTGGTAAAGTGGCAAGCCAGAGCAACGGACTATCGTTGTGATAGGGTTCATCGTCACCGCATGAATCTGGAAGCTCGAACACCTACTCCGTACGAGATACCTTGACTGTACGACAACCTTGCGCAAAGGGCTCTCGTCTCCCCTGCTTCTGCCGGTCTCTGATCCTGCGTTCTCATTTGCTCGGAGACTATCCAAAGACAATAGGAATATCTGAGACATACTGCTCCTCGTCACCATCCCCATTAAACCCAGTCAATGGCGAGCTCTCCAACCCCTTCGGTGACAGCAAGTTGCTGACGTACACTGCGGATCCATATCTACGTGATCGACAAAACGCTCTGGGATCCTAGCCTGCTCAGATCCTCGTCAGCCTGGCTCCGTATCCAAGGAATTCCTCGTACGAGTTAACCGATCGAGCTTTGAGCTACAGTTTCGGCCTTGGCAGGCACCGCTCTTTGATCGAGCCATGCGCATGTTGCAATTCAGTCATGGCCTTAGTCGACTACTCCGATTCAAGCTCTGAGAGCGAGGGCCAGGAATTGGCCGATCAGGAGAACCACCAGCAAGGCAGACGGAAACGCAAGGCTGACCATATTGACGATGAAACAGTCCACTCCATCAGATCTCCACCACCTTTGCCGGCCTCCTTTCATTCGCTATATGCTACGAATGTGAGAACTTCCACGACGGATGACCCATCCCTGCATGCTGGTCGGACGCGTCAAGTCCCCCATGTCGTAGGTAACTGGCCCACGCACATCTATCTCGAATGGTATCCACCACAGGCAGCGCTCGCTCGACTCGACACACTGATACAGACATCGAGCCTGCCAACGACGAAAACCGAGCAGACTTCGAAGGCCCACGTTCACGGATTTCTACGGTCAGATCTCGGAGCACAGTTACCATTGCATATCAGTCTATCTGCTCCTCTTGTGTTGAAGACTGAACAGAAGGAGTCGTTCCAGGGCAGCATAAATGCTGCATTGGACAGTAGCCACATAAAGCCTTTCACCGTCACGGCCACGAGACTCGACTGGGTCGCGAACCACGACAGGAGTCGGTTCTTCTTGGTGCTGAGATTGAGTAAGCCCGAAGATGACGAGTTGAACAAATTGTTGTCGATATGCAATGCCACTGCAGTGCGATTCGGCTTGTCTCAGCTTTATAACGATATAGCCGAGACTGATCAAGGCGGGGCAGTCCAGCCCAGGAGTAGGACACCGGTATCAACCACTGACAAATCCGATGCTTTCCATATCAGCATCGCTTGGACACTGCAAGACCCCAAAGATCGAGCACGCAAGCTCGTTGGTTTGGGGGTTGACCAGCTGCATGGTCTCAAGGTGAGCTTCTCACTTCTTAAGATCAAGATGGGCAATACTGTGATTGATCTCCCCTTGGGCGAAAATCGCGAGGCAGGCAGATGACAGGGCACATACCAGCCGATTTTGGTATGGAGAGCCTTCTCCCTTCGGGCGGAATGTTTTCTGCTGCACCTGGCATCAAGCGCAGATGTCCACCGCAAGACATCAAGCTCGGTTGCCTCATACGCCGAGGCATTCTGGGAGGTAAAGGTACTGGAGCGAAACCATGTGCTCGCACCACGTCCCGAGGCGAAAGGCCCCAGAGCTGCCTTCTCGAAGTCCAGGATGAGCAGCTGAGCGCTTGAACCGCCAAAATCCTAGTCCGAGTGGTGTTGCCGCTTCTCGACTTTGGCTTCACACTCTCTTGAGCCGACAAACATGGAGCATTCGATTCATCGCTCTCGAGAGGATCATGTCGAACTCCAGAATCCAAACAGCTCTCAACTCTTCAGTAATTTATTCCTCTTCTCTCGCCGCCTCCTTCTCTCTACCAACTTCTTGTGCATTTTCTCAGCCATCTTCTCGTAGCGTTCCTTCTCTTCTTTGGCTTTTCTTCGGTCCTTGATGGCCTGGATACGTCGACTCCGCTCCGCCTCTTTCTCGTCTTTCATCTCCTGTTCGCGAGCCTTCGCGATCTGTGCGACCTTCTCTTGTTCCTTCCGTTTGGCATAGCTGGTCTGGCCTGCAGTGGGACGGAACGGTTTTTTCGGTTCGTGCCAATTCTTGCCTGTAGTGCGGTCAATAATTAAAACCGTCAGTATTTTGATGGACATCTGGATATCGTACCATTTACTCTCTTGCCGAGCTTTGGCGTCAATTGTGTTAGCTGAGGAGAAGCCTTCGACACAGCACTGGCAATGACGGCACCGGGGACAGCCTCGGCCGGTGAGGACTTTGTGACTGACATCCTGCTCTACTCTGTGTAGCGCAGGACCGATCTGAGGGTCGTGCGTCAAAGGGGGCCGAGTGTTGGCTGTATGGCACACCAGGTGGGTGATGCAAAGTGCCCGGCGAAAATTCTTATCTTATCATAGCTGTAAGATCAGCTGAAATACAAGCGTCAGTCTTTTTGATTTCTAGCAGTGGGTCGGCTGTATTGATTGTTCCAAGACCGTCAGACATGCTTCCATGGCACGCATGACGCTTTTCCTATCGTGACGAAGTCACCGCGCATCTTTTTCACTTTTCACTCCACCGTCACTCGAGCTGCGACTCAATTGCAGCTGGCGCTGCCCCTCGATGGCGAGCACAGGTGAAAAGATGGATGCAAAACTCTGATCTGCTGCCCGACATGCGTTGGCAGCATCTTACGCTCACATAAATTCCCTCAATCCGGATCCTAGCTGGAGTTGGCGTGTCACAGCGCTCCTTCACCTCCGTTCCTATTTCTCCCTCACCCGCATCCACACGCACACCCACATCCGCATTGTGACACCGCTCTTCCTGCTCGTCTCTCGCTCGAGTTGAGCCCCTCTCAACACACACCACAATATGATCCCGCGATAACCCTGGCCTCGTGTCTTCTCTTCATACACTCTCTGCATGGCAGCCTTCAAGGATGAGCTGCAAACCGTCTCCGGGCTGACTCACACCCCGACAGAGCTGGCTACCCCTCCAAGCCAGAGCCAGAGCCAGAGCCAGAGCCTGGAAGCACTCAAGGACATAGCCTACGGGTCAACAGCAGGCATACTTGGGAAATTCGTCGAATATCCCTTCGACACGGTCAAAGTCCGACTACAATCACAACCGCACGAGCCCGGAGCCAGCCCCCGCCTCCGCGGCCCTCTCGATGCCTTCTCGGCTGCATTTCGATCGCCCGAGGGCCCGCTAGCCTCTCTGTACAGAGGCATCAGCGCGCCTCTTCTCGGCGCCGCGATCGAAACCTCCTCCCTGTTCTTCAGCTATCGAGTCGCCCAGGACCTTGTCGTGGCAAATACACCGGCCCTCCGCGCCAAACGAGACGAACATCCCAATGAAAAGGTCGAAGTCCCCTTCGCAGCCTTGGTTGGCTGTGGCGCCGCCTCTGGGGCGTTCACATCTCTGCTCCTGACGCCCATCGAGCTGATAAAATGCAAAATGCAGGTGCCCCTCGCGGCACCACAATCTGAGATCGCCTCCCAATTGGGCTACACGACGACCCGCTCTCCGACTGCCATGCAGCTGATTAGCACGATCTTCCGCACGCAGGGGATCCTGGGCTTCTGGCACGGACAGCTCGGCACGCTGATCCGCGAGACGGGTGGCTCGGCGGCCTGGTTCGGCTCGTACGAGGGCGTCAAGATGCTTTTTCTCCGCTCCGACCCCGCTGTCTCGCACCCTGCGGACGTCAAAGTCTGGCAGCAGATGGCCGCTGGTGCAGTAGCAGGCATGTCCTATAACTTTGTGTTTTACCCGGCCGACACGATCAAGTCGCGAATGCAGACTTCGCACGCCGAGCCTCTTGCCGGACAAGGCAAGATGACATTTCTGCAGACAGGGAAAGACCTCTGGCGCGAACAAGGATTACGAGGGTTCTATCGTGGATGCGGTATCACCGTCTTTCGCGCGGCGCCTAGCTCGGCCATCATTTTCAGCATCTACGAGGCGTTGAGGAAGTATCTCGGCTGAACGGTTGCATGAACGGTATCCTCGGCATCAAAACGTGCCCAGTGAGCCGAAAAGTACAGACACTTCTCGGTTGAATGCCACGTCGACATGACCACAAACTTCTTACAGAGTACCAGGAATGGGTGGGGCATCATAGGTGCAAGATCCGGCCAGCCAGTACATCCAAACCCACGGACCAAAGCGGCGCAAATAGGCATACATAGACACACAGGAGCTGGCTGGGAGAAGCGTCGTTGCCCGATCTGAGCTATCAATGCGTTGCCCTATGATATCATATGATTTGATAGGTATGGTACGGTATGGCGTGGTGTACTGTGGTATGATGTGCGTGCATGTCAAGACCAACGATGTATATAGAGCCCAAAATCAAGTATATGATCTAGCACTGGCGATGCTGGTGTGCGGTATTCTGATTGATTCTGATCCTAATTCTGGTTCTGGTTCTGATTCTGGTCCCAATCAAAGTGCTTGCCCGTCTGAAGAGCTAGATGGATGTTTCCGTTAAAAATCAAGCTGAACCCAACATCGATTTAAATTGGAAGATGAACATGACGGCGGACATAAAGGAAAGATGCTGAGTTCGTGTCTAGAAGATGTCAGTATGGGTACTGTACCCAGTGCTAACCAAGTAGACTTTTGTATGCCTTCATTTGTGCTCTAAAGCCCACGCCAGGTACATATGTTGCGTATTACTAGACGACGTATCTATCCTTTGCCTAATATCTAGGTCCCGGTCTGCCTGAGTGGCCTTATCCCGTGTGCGTGCGTTGTATATACAGCATTTAGGCGGTTGAACCGCGACGTCATCTCCGCAAGCGTCTTCCTCGAAGCACGATACGGTATAACGCTGCGGTGACGAGAACGGAGGCTATCTGAGCTCAGCTCATAGCCTCCTCGCCGCCCTCGATCGAGCACCAAGGCACAAGATGATCTTCAGGGACGCGAATCTGCCGACGCAGGAGCAAAGTCGAGTGGCTCGAAGATGTCGATCTTTGGAAACCCTTCCCAGAGAGGGTCGAAGCTGGAGATGTTGCCGTCAGGAATGTCATGCCCGGCGTCGTGGGCGGAAGCAGAGGCGTTTGTGACGGCTGCTCGTTCCAATTCGACTCGGCACTCGCGGACAAGGGAATGCAGTCTCTCGGTTATCACGACTTCCTTGGCTTGGCCCGCCGTTTCTGGAAGCAGAGACGTCAGGATGGTCTCGTAGTAGACGATATCTTTGACCTTGGACGCGCGGTGCGGTAGCCGACGTCTCATGGGCTCCAATGTGTCCTTGACTGCGTTTATCAGACTCTCTCGGGTGTAAGGCGACGCTTTCACGACGGTATTGGCCGGGATATCGGATGATGATGATGACGACGCTGGATTTGTCGAGCCATTACCGTTTGCATGAATGGTAGAGCTCAGGTTCTTGATTTCCACACAGAGACCGAGGGTGGCTTGACCCAGTTCCTGTCGGTAGCAGCTGTAGAAGAAATCCCAGTACCCGTGTGGCCGTGGGACGTCAAGCTCCGAATATTGGGGATCAAACAGATCCTGGTAGTTTGCGATCATCAGGCAGCTTTGCAGATAACCAGCTCGGATGTCGCGCGGCACGTCTTCCAAGTCCGGGGATAGGACGCCGCGCGAGTATAGATGCATCAGGGGTCTGCGAATACTTATGTCAAGCTCCATCCTGGCCATCAGGCGAGCGGGAGTCTTACTCGCCTCGTCGCCCAAGTAGTTGAAGCGCAAAGGAGCGGGCAGCTCCTGGAGGACCTGTTCCAGATATCGAATATGTGGGAGAATATCTTCGGCTGTGACACGGCTGAGTTTGTCCAACTGTGCGCAGGCCGACACTCTGCGAGGAAAAGTCTGCGCGAGAAGGTATTGACAGAGTCCATCAGTCCATTCTGTCGTCGGTCTCGAAGCAGGAAGAACCAACATGCGCTCGAAAATCTCATCGTCGTTCACGTTTCGTGGCGGTTGCGACGTGTAAGGGGGCACCAAACAAGGCAGCTGGCATAAGATCGAGAGCATGAGGTCGACTTCGATGATCGTCATCCAATTGCGTCTTCGCAGTTCGCCTTCAAATATACTGACGTTATCCAGGACCGTCGGATCCTGGTCCATCTTCATCACCAGGGCATCCCTCAGCAGTTCACCGTTGAGCCGGAACAAGTTGTCAAACGGTTCCAGATTTAGCCACCGGCAGATGAGCACGAGCATCTTCACTTGAAGCGCCGGTAAGCGATATCTGTCATCGTGGTGTAGTCCCCCCAGGAATTCCTCCATGAAGTGTATTGCCTCAGTCGCGCTAATCGTCCTGTATGCGGCGGCAGCTTCACATTCCTGATGCGTGCCTAGTAGGACGGCGATAGCGAGAGCACCGACTAGTTGTGGGATGAAGCCAAACCTGCAGGCGGTCTCGCCCTCGGAGAACAGAAGATCCAGCTGGTCTCTGAACTCGGACCAGAGCAAGATCCGGAAACAGTGTTCCATGTTGTCAAAGTAGAGCACTGCCAGCTTCTGGCAGATTTCGAAGGGAGGGAGTTGTAGAGTATGGCGAGTATTTGAGGAGGCTGATGTGGCCTGACTTCTCTGCTCACGGTGGTTGCTCTCGACTGAGGAATGAAGCTCCGTGAGGTCTGCTCGCAGCTGGAGTATCTGGGTAGTGCTGGAATCATGTTGCAACCTGGACAAAAATGCACAGGCACCACTGAACTGCGAGAATCAGCTCTGAAACCCGTCGAGAAGTCCCGGGCCAGAACTTGCTACAAACTCACCTTCGAACTGATATGAATCGACCTTCCCAGATGTCGAGTCTCATCCGCGCTGCTCCTCGAATCAGGAGGACCAGTTGAGTGTGAATAAGGGGCTGGTTCGCGATTCATCTGTGCATTTTGGGCCAGTAGAGCGCTCTCCAGCCTAGCTACTCTTTCCTGCAGATCCTCAAGGACGCCTGACTTTGCCGCGACAGGACCTTGCCTGCGAGTGTCGATCCTCTCCAAGGATGCTTCGTCCTCATTGTAGTCGGGCGGTAGAAGTAGCCGCGGTCTCTTGTTCGGTGCGTTGTAAGATGCTGAGTAGTCAACGTTTGGCTCGGGTTCCTGTCCGGCTTGGTATTCGCATCTGCTGGGCTTGCCTATCTTGACGCACTGCTGGCATGGATGCGTGCGCGAACATTTCAGCTTCTTGCGCCTGCACTCGAGGCACGAGATGACGGGTCTTGGTCGTTTAGTCGGCGCTGACGCTGGACTGTTTGAATCAGGCTCCGACATTCTGAGCAACCGACGAGTCTGTCAGGATTCATGCTGGTCGATGGTCTGGCCCGGAGCTGGCAGTGACCGAAGTCGCTCTTCTCACCAGGCGCTCATCCCGTGGGAGACATGCGGGGCTATCTACGTGTATACGAGGAGATCAAGGACAATACGGTACAACCTTTTGAAGACGCCGCAATTCGAACTGCTGAGCGAGTAATTACTTGTACATAAGCAATTGCCCGTTCGTCTCGGCCAATCAAGGCTGACCTCGGCTCCATGCGACAACACCTTCAATTTCATCTTACTCTCACTGCTGGCTTACTGTCACTTCATGTCCACTTTACTGCAGCGTGTCAGGCCTTTCAGGAATATAAAAGGTGCTCAAGCCGAACTACAACGTCTCGCAAGAGTCTCTCCCGGCGTCCACGTACGATATTGTTCGAGACCGCAGCACATCGCTAGGCGGCCAAGGATGGATCCCAAGCTCAAGAAGATCATCGAGCTCATCGAGTCCAAGAAAAAGCCGTCGCATCCTTGGAAGCGGCAAGAGAGGTTCGACCAGCCATATTTTTCCTTTTCGCCGCAGACTTCCTTGTGGCAGGAGATCCGACCCTCTAAAGACACCTCACCACAGCCAGCGGCATCCGCGTTCTCGATTCTATCCTGGAATATCGATTTCATGCTTCCCTATGCGGGTGAGAGGCTGCTTCCTGCGCTCAAGCACGTTCAATCGCATGTCAGCAGTACTCCCTTACCGACCATCATCATGCTGCAGGAAATGCTTGAGACCGACCTTGCACTGGTGCAAGCCCAATCCTGGGTCCGAGAGAACTACTATTTGACCGACATCGACCAACAATATTGGGAGTCGGGACACTATGGCACCTGCACACTCATTCCAAAAGTTTTGTCCATCGCCTCGCTCTTCCGTGTCCACTACGAGCAGACCGTCATGGAGAGGGACGGACTCTTCGTTGATGTGAAATTTAGCAACGGCCAGCTCATCCGCCTCTGCAACACTCATCTCGAGTCGCTGGTAGCAGATCCTCCGAAGAGGCCACACCAGCTGGCCACGGCTGCAAAATGGATGCACAGTCCAGATGTGAGTGGTAGCGTCTTAGGTGGAGATCTCAATGCCATTCAGCCCTTCGATGAAACGCTTCACTCGGATAATGACCTCCACGACGCCTATCTGACCCTTGGGGGCAAAGAGCATAGCGATGAAGGTTACACCTGGGGCCAGATGGCGCCCACAAAGCTGAGAAACATGTTTGGATGCAGCCGTATGGACAAGTTTTTCTTCTGTGGCCAACTGAGAGTCGAGAAGTTTGAGCGCTTTGGTTATGGCGTCGAGGTAGAGGAAGAGAGTGTCAAGAAGGCTTTGATCGAGCACGAAGGGCTCGAGGCCGGCTGGGTAACTGATCACCTGGGTGTCAAGGCAGAGTTTAGCCTGGAGAAGTCGTCAGGCTCGAAAATCTGAGTGCCCTGCGCTTGTAGAGCATGCAGGTTTTCAGGTTGCGGAAAGGCCTGAACCTAAAGTCGACTTCTCAATCACTCCCTCCATGATACTTCTACCACTCACAATACCGGTGGTGCAAATGACGATTTTCTTTCGCTGTCCTGCCTCTTCTAGCTTGCGTCCGATGAACCTGAGAGCTGCTATCTCCGTAAAGGTGATACCTCCAACAAACATGACGAAGACGGTCTTCCAGCCCCCAGTGCCCGCCAAAGCAGCTTTGGCTTTTGCCGCGCTCTCATCTGTGGGCTTCTGTACAATATTGAATAGCGGGCCCCGTGCCGATTTGAGGATGTCTTCAAACCCAGTCCATCCCGTACTCGAAGGCGTAAGCGGCAAGGGTGATTTGTGCAGGGTCTGGAGATGCTGCTTTTGCAATATACATTGCACAATGCGAATACTCAGGGGGGCATACCCAGAGTATACATACGCAACGTCTCCAGGGTCTTGTTCGTTGTACTCATCGATGATCAGTCGTAATTCCTTACGCAGATATGCGTAGTTTGTTTTGGTGCCCCGATCCGACTGCCCTGCTGCCCCACCAACTGGAAGGAGCAATGCTGAAGCGGATGAGCGAGGCTGCAGAAGTTGAATCTCCTCCAGTCTGTCGAGAGTCAGGAGATGCTGAAAGCCATAGGCATGGAGGATCTGTCGGCGAAAGGACTCTAGGTCCTTGGGACGCAGGCCACCGGCCACGGTTGATTCGAGGCATAGCAAGCGCAGGATGGTGGAAAGTGGAGCATCGCGAGCGATGAGTTCCTCAATGGTATCATGCTGGTAGATCGGATCTGTCCCCGCAGCGATGTTCTGCTGGACTTCCAGTTCGCGATTGAAGGTGTCAGACCGGGTGTGCTTTGTCATGTCGTCCGCCAGATTCGTATGGATAGCCAGCGACTGGTGCTCTTGTTGGAAAGTGGGCAGCTTGTTCACAAAGTCTCGTAGTTCGTTGATACCGCGAGCATTGTGGCGTCCTTCGTAGTCTGACTCCAAGCGTCGAGCGATCTTGTTCAGGTGCGGACCGATAAGCGCGAAATTGGAGGAACGCAGCTGATCGTATAACGTGTCGGATGAATCGAGCTGGATCTTTCGCTTCAGGCCCTGTTTGACAGCTGGGAGAGGAGAAGTCGAGGTGGATCCTGCCTGTGGTCGCGGCTGAGGAGTTGGTCCGATAACTGATGAATCAACCTCTGCACGGTTATGCTTGATACCGATGATCTCATCAATGAGGCCCTCGTATGTCAACTGAGTCAACAAGACTGTAGCGAAGTCCACCTCACGATCAATAATGATCAATTGCTCGATTGATGTGCTGGGCAAGCTGGTGTACTGCGTCGCAGCTTCATCGGCGTCTAGCTCCTTGCGACCCCGGAGTAAAAGGTTGGCAAGCCTTCGCGCATTGTCGCCCTTCCCCAGAATCCTTGGAAACAGGCCATGTCGTTGTTGGATATGCATCAGTGCTTTGGACGCGAGATATAGAGGTGAAGGATCATGTCTCTGCAACAGCGTCAACAAACTCGCCGTCTGACAAAGGGTGGGCCATACCAGGTAGAGATCGTTGAAAGCCTCGTCCAACTCTAGCGAGAACATGTCATCTTCGAGAGGGAGGAAGTATATCGGCAGCTCTGAGACGTTGACATCTCCTAGAACGCCTTCATCTTCAAGAATTTTGTTCGACACCAGCGTTCTTCTGGGAACCCAGCAGATCGAGATCTCATGCTCCACTGACCCGTTGCGCTGAAGTTTCTTGATCTGTTCTGCAGGATAACTCAGCGTTGGCGGCGACTCTCGGCGCTAGACTGACAGCAAGGTACGGGCGATCACCGGTGCAGTCTCCTTGTGGTTCCGTTGCCCTCAGAAGAACGACTCTGATACATACCTGCTACAGCTTGAACCAGGCTGGCCTTCTCGCCGTGGACGAGATAGATGATGCTTCTTTGCGAAGAGTCGGTATTCCCATTCTCGAGCTCGAAGACTTTGTCCACGCCATATTCTTTCAGGGTGGGGAACTGAATGAAGAGGCTAAGCAGTCCGGTCAAGTCCTTTCCGATGACCAGGTTCTTCTTTCCCCGGACCTGGCACGATGTTAGTTCTGGTGCCTGCCACACAGACAGACTTTCTACTCACGCCTTCGAGCACACCAAGAAGCTCTTTCCTCGCTTTGTTCCGGAGATGTTCCGCTTCTTTGTCTATGTTCGGGGCCATGGCCCTCACACTCGAGCTGCGGCCTTAGTCCATATCCAAGCCTTGTGAGAGGGTGGCTTCAATTCGGGACGTGACGAGGAACCGAGCTGTTCACTTGGTAATTAATTGACCTGGGGAAATCGAGACTCGGAAACGGATCTGATTTGGCGACTAGTCTGCCAAGACCCAACGCTAGTGGCCGCGCGGAGGAAAGTCAGCCGCAGACCGACAGGCTGAAGTGACAAAAAGTCCAGATTCACAGCACTGCCTCGACTGCCCACCAGCCACGTCCTCGCCCTCCTGTTTCAGCTCGGGATCCGTCTTGGACTTTACAAGATTAATAGTGCCTGCTTTGCAACGCTGCTCTTTTGTTCCTGCCTATTTCTTGGAAACTCTCCCTCTACGAGGCCTTTCAATTGCACCTCACCTACCTCGAACCCGCGCAAGGATGGGGAAATTCAGCCTCAGGCGGGGCGACGACGACGACGGCGACTCCAGTAGACTCGCTCTCTTCGGCTCCCGGTCGAAGAGCAAATCGCCCGCTCCGCCCTCAAATAACCCGTACGCTCAGCCCACGATTGCACCCGACCCCTACACAAAGGCGAAGATGAATGCTGGAATTCTCCCTCCACCAGGGCAGGGCGCTGCTCCAGGTCAAGGCGGAGTTAGTGGATTACCCGGTCCTGGTCAACAGAGGCCGCCACAAGGTAGAGACAACCCCTATGGCGGAGCGCCAGCGGGAAGTTTTGGTGGGGACAACAAATATGGTCCTCCGCAAGGTGGATTTCGAGGAGGTAGTGGTTACGGTTCAGACAAGTTCGGCAATCAGAACGGATACGGAGGCGGTGGACCTCCTGGCGGCAATCCGTATGCCAGCGTTCAACAGACCAGCGGCACGTCGAGGCAAGGAGGCTACGGTGGGCTAAGCGCCCCCAACCTCTACGACAATGACAGTAACCGTGATGAACTTTTTGGGGGAGCACGGGAACGACTTGAGCAGAAGCAGCAGAGCCGTCCAGATGGGCCTCCTGACTATGAGTACAGCTCCCACAATCAGCCCGATGCGAGCGACCGCAGCTACGGTGCGTATGGCGATCGTCAACTGACGGCCGAAGAGGAGGAGGACGAAGACATCAATGCCACCAAGCAGGACATTAAGTTCATGAAGCAGCAAGACGTGGCATCCACCAAAAATGCTCTCCGGATCGCAGCCCAAGCCGAGGAAATGGGCCGGAACACACTCGCCAGGCTAGGGGCACAGGGTGAGAGAATGCACAACACTGATCGCAATCTCGACCTTGGAAACAATCATATCAACATT